TTAATTTATATGCCCGTTCCAGATATTTTTGTCGTTCTCATGAATTTCCTTTCTGTATCCCCATCGTAAACATTCGGTTATGAACACCTCAAAGTAATTTGCAGTTCTTCAAAATAGTTGTACATATGTAGTCTTCTTCGAAATATTGTCTTCCCTTGTGGTTCATCATAATTCGACATTTACCTGGACTTCATGCATTTATCCACAGATAACAGTTTAAAAAAAAGACAGACTGCGCCATAAGCATGACATTCTAAATACTAATTTACTTGGGGGAGAAATGCCACCAATTTTAGCGAAATGAAAAGCTTCTGGAGATGCAGAAGTTAGGCAGGTTGCAAACCACAATCATATTCTCTTAACAAAAATCTTGTGGTGCTTGAATTTTCTTTGGGACCCCTCTACCCCCTTTTATTCTATGTAGGAATTCTTTGAAATCGTCATAATCAATTCACATAAGCTCTGCTGTTTCCGAAACTGTGGGAAGTGAAGGCGTTCAGGTACTAAACAAATTTTTGGTAAGTAGGGGGGATCGACAATGACAAAAGAAACAATTCCACTTGAATACCATCATTCAACCTATACTCGATACTTTTGTCTATTTTATGCACCTCTAATGAGAAATTCTCAGCCACTCAAAAAACCTTTTTGTCCTTCTCAGTACCGAAATAACGCTGTCAAAGTTTCCCAGGTGACCAAAAGTAAGTCACAGGTGCGAAAAAAATTTGTCATATGCATGCTTACGCATTATTTTGAGTTTAAACTATATGATAATTTAAAAATCTCATAGCATAATATAAAATCTCACAACCATGACAGCAGAGCAATAATCTCTCGCACCATGAAGCAAAAATTCTATGTACTTTTCTGAATTTTTAACCATTTTTCGGAGATCCTTTGAAGGATGTCACTAAGTTTTCTTGATCCTGAAGGAATCATCAAATCAACGCAAAAAAGAAACATTAGGTAACTTGTGTGTACTATTTGTCACCTTCGTAAATGTTCTGTAGTTTCCACTATTACTGTTACTATTACTTTTTGTGCAGTTACCCTTTAATTCAACTGGCTTGGCGGCTGGAAGGCGGGGTTTCGTGACCTAATTTAGGCTAGGTAATGATCAGAGAGCACACGCGCGGGAGAGACGCAGATTGCGTTGCGGGCGCGAGCGGCCTTAATTAGGTCACCAAGCCCCGCCTTACAGCCGCCAAACCAGTTGAATCAAAGGTTAATATCGCTCATAATTGGCCTTAAAGGTCACCGAACTTCACCGGAGATCACCGAATTCTCAGAGTGACGAATTCTGATCCAGGTATAATAGCGTCCAGGATAAAGTAGGCGGTCAAATTTCACGAATTTTTGCTTCGGTGTAGCTTACACACTGTTGAGTGTATGAGCACACCGAGTAACCTACCGTACCTGACCTCCCACCCTGCATCTACGGTCACCAAAAGGGCAATTCAGACAATGTGTTTATCAGAAGATGCGCCTTGCCGAGCTGAGTTGAACGGCGTCCCTGGTCTCGAGTTCGTCTGTTCAACCAAGATACAGCGATACGACGCGAATTTCGGTAAACCCGGTGGAGTTCGGTGGTTCTTCTGACGAATTGTGAGCGGTGATGCAGTGTGGAAGACAAGCCGAACATCACATTGTCATCTTTAAAAGTTACTTCGTCATCAGTGAAGCATGGTTCAAGTAAATGACTCAAGAATTCTTTGTTCTCTTCAAATGCAGAACTCACATCACGTCTTTGCTACGCTTTCTTCCCACGTAAATCACATCTGAATAGATACCATTCACATCATCACAAACGTTCTCGCTCGCATTGTGAATGTTCTGTTCTTTCTCGTCCTGTTGACATTCACTTCAGAGTCGAAAGTTTCTCTTCAAAGCAGATGATTGGCAACTGCGTGTACATTTCGGCAAAGGAATAGCTATTGTGACGAACGTTGGGATGCTTTTGAAATGCAACGAATGTGCGAACGTTTTCATTATGTGTGCTGTGTATGAGTGTTCATGCTTGCCTGCTGCTGACATCAAAACTGTTTTCGACAGAGCTGACAAAGAGAATCGATGGAAAAGTGTTTGTGTAACTTTTGCATGCATGTGAGGGACCGAAACTGAAATATTAGAATTTTTGCAAGGGAAAGTTGCAGAAAATTTTCCTAATTCACACAGTAACAGCTGTAATTCCCAGGTTGTCAAATGTTGCGTCTAATTTCATAGGGATCCGTCAGAGTTTACCGATGTTACCAGTTTACCCGCGTCACTAGTGTTACTCCTGTTACTCGAGTTACCAGTGTTACCCGCGTTACTCGTGTTAATCGTGTTACCAGTGTTACTCGTGTTACCGGTGTTACCAGTGTGAGGCTTGTTACTCGTGTTACTGATGTTACCGCGCTCACCAGTCATTTACTACTCAAGGCAATAAAAGCGGTAACACTAGTAACAACAAGCGTAACAGGTAACATCGGTAACACTGGTGACACGGGTAACAAGAGTAACACTTACAACACGGGTAACACTGGTAATATCGGTTAACTCTAACGGATCTCTAACTTTTTCTTTTTCTTTGAGTGTTTGTCGACGAATGTTGCATCTGACTTCATGCATCTTTTTTTTTTTGGAGTGTGGCACATTCATTAGGCCCCGGACAGACTTGACGCGATTTCATCGCCGCGACTGAATCGTGACGAGACAACTGTTACAACATCATTTCATGCCGATCAACTTGCATCTCGGTTGTGGTACTTTTCCAGCCCGAAATTTTTGGATGTGAAATGAAAATAGATGGAAATGTCGGCGATTCAGTCGCGACGATCAAATCGCGTGAAGTCTGCCCGGGGCCTTACATGATATTATATGAGTTATGGTGAGCTCATCGTAATCCTAAGCTAGTCGAGCGATGCTTCAACAGGAACATAAACACCATAAGCATCTCAGCATCATAATATTACAACTAGTCGTATTAGACGACTTTGTAACGCAATATGCGTCAAAAGGGAAGATTTCCAAGGGATAAGCGGTGCTGAGCGCGCAGTAGACGGATCAAGCCGCTATTCTTGCGACAGAAACACTGTTTTTGCTCCTGGGATAAAGAAACTTGCATAAGCTTAGTTTTCCAGGAAATCTTTGAGAGAGGGAGATACAGGATGCGTGAAATCCAAAAAGCCTTTGAGTATATTTGGAATGTATGTAAAGGTTACTGCATAACGAAGGCGCAGAAGCAGTACAAGTTGAGTGGGCCCGAAAGCGACGCGCGCGTATCTTCACCGTTGTAAATGCTGCGTCTCATGCGCTCTGCGGCCAATAAAGCCGCGTTCGCGCGCAAAGAAATTGCGCCTTCGTCATGCAGCAGCATAAGATTTTTTCAAGGCGGTCACCAAAAACTCATGTCTTCGATAACTGCGAGAAAATTTGCCGGTGTCGCCCAAAGGCTTTATTTGAAATGAATTTAAAGATCATAAAAGCGCAACAATCGAATCCATGGCTACCTTATTTCTATAGCGTTCTAGATGAGCGTCTAACTTCAAAACTGCATAGTCAGATTTCTGCATTTCCACATTTGTACTCGGAACTTACGGTATGCGGTGTACACATGCCTGACTAGATTCCAATAATTTCCCCATAATCCTTTGCAAAAATTATTCTACGAAGTATGTATGTCATAGCTGAAAGCTTGCTCTGCCTTGTTATCGAATTGGTCTCCATAAACTTCAATTCTGCTTTTATCAATAAAAAGTAGATCCCTAACTGATGCACCCTGGTTGTTGTTCTGTTGTTCTCTCTAACATTAACATTAACATTAACATTTATTGCATAGGGTTCCTATGCATCAACACAACATAAACAATAACGAACGAACAAGAGATTGAAACAACAAAAAGAATGAGGTAGATGAACATAAAAGTCAGGTCTGTAAAGGAGAAGATAGATAGTTTTTGAGAATGGTTTTAAATTGTGCCAATTTAACAGGAAATCTATTCTTCCTAACAAACTTATCAATATCATGAGTAACTCGGTTTACAAAGAAAAACCGCCTCTAGGCGAAAGAAAACATCGTCAAGTATTCAAAATCGTAAAATCGTACTTATTCGGCAAGTGCCGGGACTCCACGGGCTTACTAGAGTGGCTGCTCAAGTATTCAGATGCGGAAGCTAGAGCCTATGACAATGACAGCCTATGACAAAGGATTTCGTTGGCAAAAACGACAAAGAGGTAAAGAACCGAACGAAGAGAGAAAGAAAAACCATGCTCTTCTCTCATCCCATTCAAAGGGCGCGTTTGGCATTGGCGCACATTCCATGCTGTGGAGCAACCGAATTTCGCAACATTTGAAAAAGGCTTGTTTTTTCGAGAATGCGCCGCAGGTTATGTTGCATTTTCCATCATTGATTGCTGAGGTAGCCAAAGTCCTGGCATTTCCACTTAAATTGGTTGTTGCTCGGAAGTGCTGACAATGCATTTGTGCATGTTGCCTTGGTTTCATATTCTATTTTTCATATTTGTTTTGTTTTTCTTTTTTATGGAATAAGAATAAAAGTCAGCTTGGGTTTCTGACTTATTCAAGAACCGGGAGAAACGAGTGCTTTCTGCATTTTGCACAGTGATTAACAACGAACATTCCTTCCATTTCAAGGTCTAAGATTACGGGGTTGCATTTTCGGCTCTTTTTTCTAAAGAGAAGTCTTGTTTTCTGATCCACATTTTGCCTAATCACAACAAGGACTCACCTTCATTGTGCTTGTAACAAACTTGTAGTATATAGTCGTGTAACTTAGCGGTAAGATGGTGCAACAGACATCAAATGCGCGTCGAAAACGGCCCTGAAGCGCAAATTTATATGTTCTGCACCACATGGTCCTTTCTTACGCGCAGATGTTGTCGGTAAACAGCTGTATTACCGTTAACTCTCCTAAATTGTAGGAGGAACCCTTAATTCTCCACTTTGTGGTTTTTCGTTAAATGTGTAGGAATGCCAAGCTCGAGTGTGATTTCCCCTCGTTTCAGGATATGGCTGAAGTCTACAGTGTCGAGATTTCGACGAACATCAGCGAGTTTCCATACGAGAAGAAATTCCCAGCTACCTTCACACTTAGCGATCTCAAGGCATGACCGTCACTTTGATCTTTGTATGCTTAATGTAGGATTATGGTTGATACAACTAATAATAACTCGGTCGGGCAACATTATCGCTTCGCTGTTTAGAAGAAGCTTGAGTTGATCGTTGGAGCAGCGGCTGACTCTATAAAGGTTGAGCTTCACGAAGGTGAGGGCAAGTTCGTTTCTTCGCTAACCGATAATTCGAAAACTCTAAAGGATCTTGGAGTAAAAAATGGTAGCTTGTCTTCTTCATCCATAATTTCGCAGCGATCTTTCAGTGTGGTTCTTTAGGAATGCGTATCCATGCAGTGGACATATCAGGACATAATGTCGAATTACAAGACGACAGCATGGTTGAGAAATATACGATGAGTGATGCTGCTTATAACGAACGGGAAGGTGTGCGCTTTTTTTTGAGTTTTCCAGTTTTGTCCTATTCTTACATTTCGATATGCTTTTCGAGTGTTGATCCCAGCCTTGGACAAGTTTGAGAATGATTTTTCCCCTGGAAAACTGCTGGCAATTCCAAGAAGAGAATGAGCGGTCGAAGTGGCTATTTTCAACAAGCTAGTACATATCAATTGATGTAGCATAGAACGCCGTTTTTTAATTTTATCTGTTGCCGTTGTGGACGAAGTTATAAGCCTATATGGCAAAGAAATTATGACGAAGTGCGAATTTTGACATATAGATTCATGTATGGCCTGATATTGGACAATTTCTGAAGTTGACTCAGTAAGCGTTCAAATATCTAAGCTTGCGGTTCGGTAGTGAACTTGCATTGAATCTGCTCAAAACTTCGTCTACAAAAGCGATTAGCGGATAGGAGGACAGATTTGGAGTCTACGCTCTACCTCCGATCAAGGGTGTGTCTGCTAACCCCTTTTTTGGAATGATCACGTCGATTTCTGACCATTTCCTTGCAATCACGGCCTTTTCCATTACTGCACCGTACCGCACTCGTTTCCTTTTTTATTTACCTCATGGTAATTTCCTTATTGCGTATGCTTTTTTTCATGTTCCTAATCTCAACCCTATACTCCTAACTTTGCATTGGTCTTAACGTATGTCAAATAATCATTACAGATAGCGTAAGAGCTTGGAAGAAGAAACTCCTCGCTGAACATGGAAAGGACAGTGAACACAAACCTGAGCATGTGGAGGAACTAAATGCTGAGTTAGCAAAGAAAATAAAGGTGAGCTGCTGTTCTTTGTTGCTTGATAGACTTACCGGTTGTTTTTTTATTTCCGGTTCTCACTTAATCCAGTTTTTTCGTTCAGCGACAACCACTGTTTCTTTCAGTTGCCAACTCAATTTCATCATCTTTAGGGTCGAAATGTTTATTAGACGCATTACGAACTAACAATTATTATTTAATCCAAACATGACTGCTCTGATACAATTTTGATGGAGAACTCTACTAGAAATGGCCACTCAAGGGAGTTTTGGGACCGTATATGTTTTATTCCCTCGACAGTAAAACTCACGCATTAGATTGATTGTACGGCTTTGTCTGCTAGGACTTTTTACAAAGTTGAGGTTGTTACAGTTCGAGTTCATGCGAGTAGGAATGTCTTTCCAGATTGGTGACCGCTGCGAGGTGCGTATACGCGGTGAACCTGCTAAGCGTGGCGTAGTCTCCTTCAACGGTGAGACGAAGTTTCGCCAAGGTGTTTGGATCGGTGTCACATACGACGAACCTGTGGGCAAAAACGATGGCTCTGTTAATGGTGAGAGGTAAGCAGTCTTTCTTCTCTTTCCTTCTTTTTTTCTCATTCTCTTTCTCTCATTTGGAATGAGCTTTAGTCGAGGGGCTTGCTCCCGCGCGGCCGCCTCGCCTGGATCCTGCGCTGTGTTTGCGAACGTGTCTTCTAAACTCTTGAGCGTGGAAACGAGCTTAGAGGGGAGCTTTAGTCATTGATAAGGCATGGCAAAATGGTCAGAGAACACCTTAGCTTGCAACTCCAGGCAACGCTGCCACGCGAGACTCGAGTTTCTCGAGTTGGGCTCACTTCATATGAGACACAGGGTACAGGTTCTTAGTTGCCAAACAAACAGAATCCTTAATTTTGTGCCAGTTTGAAGGTTTTTTTTTCAGATATTTCCAATGTGAAGATAAACACGGTGGTTTTGTGCATCCAGTAGATGTTGTGACCGGTGACTTTCCTCCGCTGCCCATCGATGATATGGATGAAATCTAAACTTCTTGGTAACTTTCATTCCCAGCTTTTGTGTTCACTTGTGAGATTTTGCGTGTTTAAATATTGATCTTCTAGCTGCTTACGAGGCTTTTTTTGCTGAGACCTGTCTTACTACTCACTACTTCTTTGTTGTCAGTTTTGCATGCACTGATTTATTAAAACGAAAGCATATAAGTATTAAACGCTTTCAAATAAGGACTGAACACCGCTGATCACGCAGAAGTACATGGTACAAACCAGCACTATAATTTGAATTTACAAGCATGACATAGCGTTGCAGTAGAGAAAAAACAATCGACGGGGGCATTTACAAGGGCACATGTACAACTATACAAGCAAAGCTAAATTATCAAAAATTTACAAAGAGAAAGCTATACAATCGGGATTGAGGGCGAGAACATTTCGTTTCATTGGCAACAAACAGCACAGGTATGTCATGTTTATTTTAGATTGCTAAACGGCGTAGTACTGTTCAAAAGAGGTCATCGAAGATGGATGAGTGGAGGAGAAGTTCTGCGTGATGGCTTTGGTGATATCATAATGATCACATACGGCCGCTAGAGCTCGTAACGACCAAGTTGATGAGATTTACTAGTCAACGGCACATAGATCACATGTTCGATCACTTTCTGTGTGACATTGCCATCAATTTTGTCGACTTGCAGGAATACCTGTGAAGTAGAGTACTCTCACGACATTGTGTGAGGAGTCGCAAAACTTCGTCACTTTTTGGAAGTGAAAAGGGCCCCCTTCTCAGCGCAGCGTCGAGTCCTCGACCACACGAGCTGACCGCAAATTGCGAAATAAACGCGGACTGATCAGTCATGAGAGAACGACTAGTACAGTAGCGATTTGTGCTACAAACGTTTGGCTGCGCGGCGCGGCTCCGCAATCTACGGCCATTGCGTGCGGTCAACGACTCGACGGCATATTTTGTACTGTTACTATTTTGACAATCAGAAACAAACAGAAAGTGTTGGGGATATCCGATGCTTTCTTAATTTTGAGGTTTGCAAGTTTATGAGACATGCCAAATTTGGATGCTTTTGTATTTTATTTGTTGACTTTTGGTAAGGTATGTCACATTCTAAAGCTGCGCAAAATGGCAAATTTAGCAGATGAGCTCAAGTAATGACTGTGTTTCTCCGAGTTCTGTCCAGGTATCGTATTACCAAACGAAGTGTAATTGATCGAGAGAGGTGATGATAATAAATGAATGAAAATAAGTACAGCTTGATGGTTCACATGTCACCATGTGATCAGATATGGCCGCTTAGAGTTCGTTACGACCGAGTTGATGTGATGTATTGGTCAGCGGCACATAGATCACATGTTCGATCACTTTCTGAGTGACATTGCCATCAATTTTGTCCACTTGCAGGAATACCTATGAAGCAGAATTAATTGCACAGTTATATATAAAGACATAAGACACACTTGAAAGATCCTACTATACAATCAAGGAAAAGGAAAACGGGAAAAGGTTTCATAAAGCAGGTATAATGTACTCGAAAAACCAAATTTTCAAATGGGTGTTACTATGGACTATTTACTTGTTACGTTTTGAATAATTGTGTGTCAGCTGACAATATTTCATTTGATTGAATCTACTTTCGTGTGTTCTCTATCCACCTGCCCTAATAATAATTGAACATTCACGCCAATTAGCGTACAAAATAGATGTGTGCAATCTGCCTCAACTGCACGTCCCTGTGTGCAGCTACGCATGCGCGGATATCTCGCGGGTCACCTCCAAGCAAGTGCCGCGCGAGGTACCGGCGCACCTGCTGACTGATGGGGGCACTAGGATTAAAACAGACTGTTCCTTCTACTCACCTAACATAACTACTCGCCTGCTTCCGCGTTGAAATTGCGGGGGTTAGAAGTGACAGAGAAAGATCGGACTTTGGCCGATAGGTTCCATATGGGGGCTGCTACCCTGCGACCTTGTTTTGTCACGGGTCTCATTCTGCCGATCTACTGCCTTTAAGGCAGCGTCCCAGCAAAATGATGGGTACCGGGATTTTATAGTGTTGCAATGGTAGACCCCAGCCCCCCCCCCCTCCTCCCCCCCCCCCCAACTAATCTATCAGGGAAGTCTGAAGCGAAAAAGCGCTTTAGTAAAGCTTAAATCCGCTCCGGAGTCTTCCGGACCTCGCCCACTTACACGTATTTTGGAGCGATCGCGGACATGGAAACCTTCAAAAAAGCTCATTTTTGCCATTTTCAAACGCTGAAAAGCCCAAGGCTTCAGCACGGCGAGAAGGCTCCGAAAACGTGAAAAACGGAAAGTGAGGTTTTGCAGGGACACTCCCTCTAAAGAGATAGTAACTGGGCTGCACTCTTCATCCGCGAACCATACTAGATATTTCGAAGAAGAATTGAAGAGCAAACTTGTATATATTTTCGCTCAATACAATTGCTTGTGGTGCAGCAAAAAGCGGTAAAATTTGTGCGCGAACAAACACGCCAGTACCGCCGGCATTTCGAAAGAAAATTAAGTAACTTGTATCTAAAGTCGATTAGATTTTCCGCTCAATATAGTGTACCTGCGGTGCCGAGAAGAACGATGAGTTTTGCGCGTGCAAGTGGCGGGCACCACAGGCGCGTAGCCATTTGTTCAAGCGCAAATTTTACTATTTTCTTGGCACTGCGAAAACTATATTAAGCGGGATATCCACTCGACTGTATGATAATAATAATAATAATACATTGTATATTCGGTTAAATCGGGTCAGATTTGTACATAATGAAAAACGTCCTATTTTGATTTCGCAAGCTTTGATCAGCATCCAAGGAGGATTTACATGCAAATGAGCGCTGATGCAAACTAGCACTTAGTGCACTCTTGATAATTCTGCCATATTATCCAGTTTATATTTGCAAGCGTACCTTCACATCAATCTTATCATATTATAAACTCCGTTCTCGAAAAGTAACAATAATGAGGTTTTAAGCTTTTATTCGATAGTATATAACAAGCTTTCAACAAAGCGACACTAACCTGATTTCCGTGCTCCCTGCCAACGGGAATTAGCATTCGTCCTCCCTCGGCGAGTTGGTCGATCAGCTGAAACACAATTTGTGTGCCATAATCGTTATACTCTAGCTTCGCCAAGTACTACCTGCTAGCATTCACTATCTTCTGACATTCACTATCTTCTGAGAGCAATGAATAAGACTAGAGCTTTGAGTTAGGAAAATAACAACCAAAGATCGCTGGGAATCACTTTACAGTATCACTCTATGGTTTCCAGATACCCATTTTCAAAAAAAAGCGCGTACAAGACTTTTGATAAATTTTGTATTATTTTGATGATTTTTATAAAAGTCGTAATAACATGTTATCACGAATTCTTCATAGATTCAATTCAAAATGCTGTCAAATATATCTGTTGTAGAAACTTCCATATTTACATTAGAGAGATAACTATTCGGAATTTTATTTTTGGCTGAAGGTATCAAAGAGCACAGCAGTTTTCTTGAAGCAGCAGAATCAAGAAGCAAAGTTTGTCAATGATGCTCTCAGTTATGTACTCTTTCAGTCACCGTGTTTTCAGCTAACAGTGACCTTTGTCTTTTTGATAAGAGAGCAAATACTAATAGCAGAGAGCTTATCGCTTATTTTCCCCCTGTTATGTCAAGAAATTGTAGATTTAGCGACTGACTTTCACATGAAGCAATCACTTTATTCTGTTCTCTTTAGGTAAGGATATATTTATATAAATCATCACCAAATATCGAAAAGCAATACCAACTTCTCTACACATGCAATGACTCAACATCTTAGATTTCGATTCTGCCAGATAAGGCAAGCTCTATTTTTCTCCCGATATCCAAATTGCTGCCAAAAAGTTTACGCTTTGAAACACCTTCTTAAAATGAGAGAAAACTTTGATATGTAAGTTCCCTAATTTACGCAGATTATACTTCCTTGCATTCTGATCGTTCAGATAAGGTGTAGAACAGCAGGCGCAAAAATAAATATTCACTGTTGATCTGCCAATAATATAGAGCCTGGTTACAAGACACATGAGAATGTAAACTCATATTCGTTGACTTTTCCCTACTATAACGCATTACACACACCTATACTATACAACTTTTGATTCCTTGTTGGAAGCATCCCTTCTGAACTCTTACTGCATTCATTTCTGTTTTATAGCAAAGAACAAGATTTACAGCTGCCTAAAATTCATTTTCACTAACTTGAAAACGACCTCAACAAAAGTACAGCCTGAAAGTAATGAGATTCTGCATCAAACCATGGCAATATTCTACCTACGTTTCAAGCCATTCGAACTAATTTCCGCGTCAAACTAAATCAGCCTGTCGTTTGAGAGATGTTTCAGAGTAAGCCATTGTTAACAAGTGCAACGGTACTTGAGTTCAAAAAAGTACAAAGGATTTTCAGTCTACGTTTAATCACTTGCGTAGCAGCTACCCCTCCTATTTTGTCTCAAAATGGTCATTACTATCACACTCACTCGCAAGTCAAAAGTCTGATATCTTATTGCGAGTATCAATGCCAGCTGCAAATTAAGGACCAAAGGTCCATTTGCGTTGTTTATTATTGAAAAATAGTGCGTTTGATCTACTCATTGCTTGAGATACTGCCTTATAGGTCATCTTTTTGGTTTCAACTCTAGGTTCCTACACTTCGCCATGTTTTTGAACCGCATTTGAACTTTTAAACCCCGCTGAGAACAGTTAAGTGCTCTTCTTAATACGAGTTTCGCAACCTATAGTAACTAACAGCTATTTTACCTCTCTTTAGATCATAGTTCCGAACAGCTTCAGTAATTCAGGGCTAGATTTTCTCAGAGTTCTTCAGTTACTGGGCTTGTAGAGCCCTTGCTGTTCTCATGCTAAAAACTTTATTTGCTGCTGTGAAATCAAGCGTTCCATTGAACGCGTGGTCAGCTTACTCCATGCAGTGATAGAATGTCATATCCCCAGGGAGATTTTATATCCCTACCGCCCGTACTTGAGTTTACACACTTCAAGCTCATATTCCAACCACGTTTACACACCAGTTCTTTTCTGATTTCTAAATGTAGAGTTTTTAATGATCACTTGCTGATCTTATTGTTAGTAGTTTGGATATGGCACCCTTTTTTCATTATGATAAGCTTCTCTTGATTTTTTACCATTCATTTTTTCTCGCTGCAACTCTTATTCTTCTTGTCTTAAATAGTTTTGCGGTACCATTCGACTAACAAGGAAAGGTTGGTCGAAGTGGCCTTTTGAAATGAGATGTATACTGCCTTGTAGAGCTTGGAACGCTGATTCCAAATCTACCTTTGTATCTGCTGCGGGCATCTGGGCGAGGAGCTATGAAGGTTTTTGTGAGTAAAAATCTGAGTGCAAGAATAAGCTAAAATCAGTCGTAACATTTTTTGTGGGGCTTAATTGGTAGTTGGGTCACTCACGGTGCAACAAATATTCTTGATTCAAATATACCAGTTCGCTGCTGCCTCATTTTAACATTGGGAAAAGGTTACGACTGATTTTACCCTATTTTGCATTCAAATTTTTACTCACAAAAACCTTCGCAACTCCTCTCCCAGATGCCCGCAGCAGATAGCAAAGGTAGATTTGGAATCAGCGTTCTCTACAAGGTCTACAAGGCGGTATACACCTCATTTCAAAAGGCCACTTCGACCCAACCTTCCTTCCCTTGTAAGCAAGCTCTATTAGATAGCACCCAAACGTCCGAATGTTTGTTTTATATAAAGCTCGAAGTCGAAATCTGAAAAAAAACCTGGATGTCCGAAAAGTCAAAAAATGCATCTCCTTTCAAGCAAAAAGTTCCTAAGGACTTCCTCTTGCTAGAGCATGTATTAGGGTGTCTCATGATTTTGTATCGTTTTTACCCTAGACATCAGCATTTCTCAAGAACTGGGGCACCTACAAAGGATACAAATACGTAATCGTACTTCTGTATATGTATGAGCTGTATAATCACGTGTGTGGGAGGAGCTCAGAACTTTTAGAAGCAGTTTGCCATTTTACTCCACTCATTTTTTTCTTTATTGCTAGCCCTTGAAAAAATACGGAAAGTGTATAATTGAATGCTCGATGTGTCAAGCATATGCTAAGATAAGAGGGAAATTTTAAAGATTTTTTTGGGGCCGAGATACGAATCTTTCCAGTAAAGTTTGGTTTTGACTGTATCATAATTCAGCTCAAAACGTCACTGGAAAAAACGAACTAGGCAGACTATTGATAGCCAACTTGCGACGGTTGTAATAAACAAGGTGAAAAATTATGAGACACCCTAATGCTATCCACATCCGGCAATCATTTTTATTTTTTTCACTGCTAAAAATGGAGAAAATATTCATGTTTTTGTGAAAGCTGCACTGGGTTGCTTCCCACATAGAATTTTATAGTATGAGACTTCGGAAGTATAGCCATGTTTTTTGGCCATACACAGACGAAAATTTTTTAGAAGTATCAATTTCAGCACAAAAATCCAAGAAGGTTTTTTTTGTAAGGCCTATTCTAATGTATGTTTCTCGAGTTCTAGTCATAGAAAGCATAAGCAAATCTACAAATATGTACTAGAGAGAACAGTATAGCGTGAGCAAGTAAGAAGTTCGCAGGACTTTTCTAGACGAAGATAAAATTTTTCTCGACTTTTCGGGCATTTGGATTTTTTAAAGTTCGGCTTCATTTTATGTGTATTGAACTTTGAGCAAATATTAACATACGATCTTGTCAAGCTTGCTTTGCTCTCGAATGATATCGAGAACTTATTCAAGAAGCAAGATCAATACGTTACAACGAGAGGAAGTAAAAACCGTAAAAAACTAGGAGAGACCCTAATATATCTCTCGGAAACATTTCTGAATTAGGTTTGAAGTTGTGCTCACTAGGGATTAGTCAGGATGAATTCTGGCTCAATGTATTGGCAAGACACTTTGGTAAGCAAAACATCCTCATGATAATCCTATCACAAGACGCGAAATGCTATGAATCATGTGTACTGTACAAGAAAATCTGCGGAAGTTTGCCGCAGATTTTGCATCTCGTAATCTCATGTGGTGCTTTCTCACAGGCGAATTCTAATTCGTGCACTCTTTCCTTCGCTAAAATTTCAAGTGAAAGCTCTTAGAATGATGAATCCAAGTGTGCGCAGAATATACACCATTCATTTGCATAACGAACTTAGTTGGTCTCATGAATTCATCTGCATCAAGTCGCAAGTTGGGAATTAGATGCGTCCTGATACCTCCTAATTACCACAATCTCCTAGTCAGAATCGGGTAGTGGTTGTCTATGCTGTCTATTGCTGTTTAAGATATCAATTTCTAGAGCACTTAGTTGAAGTTTAATATGGTCATGGAGTAGATGTGAGAGGAGTTATCAAAATACTTTTGACAATGAGAAGGAACGAGAAAAAAATGATTGATAAGGTGATAAAATAAATTGAGGAAAAAATGATGATGACTGACTTACCGGTTGTGGTATTGTTTCTGCTGCTGCACCCACATGAATAGCATCATATTTACGATCTGTTTCATATCCTTTGCGGCCATCACCCTAGAATGCCCAAAATTAGAAGAAACCTAAGGAACCCGAATTTCGAGTTTTAAAACCTATCGACTATCAATTATATAAAAACTAGCAGGAGCCACCTCGAGGTCGATAAAAATGCCAAAAATTACCTCAATAAAGCGTATTTGACCGTTATCCAGTAAATCAGCATGATGCTTTCTTGTGTTCTCTTTCGATAATTCTACCAGCTCAGGGATGTGCTCAATACCAATCACTTTTCCATTTCGACCAATCTATGAGAAAATCATTGCATAAAAGTATGCCGAAAATCTTTATATACCGAATCATGACCTACCAAATTAAACTCACCATGAGAGCCATACATACTGTCAAATAACCAGATCCTGAGCCGACATCTAAAGCATATGCCCCATCTACGAGATGGTTTTTCAAGTATTCCAAAGCTGCAGCATGCTGAAAGTAGAAAGGTAAGTGTGAACATATTGCGCTTTTCTGATTCTGAATGCATCCGAGTTCGTATGATTTTTCATGGAAAGAAAACTGTTTTATGTTGCCAGCCGATTGGCATTTTGCTAAAAAGAAGATTCTTCGATCCTGAGTTTTGCAAATTTTTCAGGACAGACAACTTCGCTCAGCATATTTTTTCTTGAAGAATGTGTAACTTACTGCTCAAGATATTAATTATGTATAGGTCACCGTATTAATGGAGCCGCAGCGATTTCTCCAAATTTTTACGAAGTAAAAGTTTTCAGCCATAGTATGCAATTCTACTTTACAACATCTCTTCCAAGCAACGTCCCTTCATAATACCTACATTCCTTTATTAAAGAAAGTTCCACATGAAAACCTACTTCCTTTTCTTCCCGTCAACTAAATTCATGACCTATATGTGACCAATAGGAAGTAAGTATCGCTGCTATCTAGGACTCGATAAGCTCTTATCATTGCTCCTATCGCTAGCGTGAGCGAACATAGTAAACAACATGGCTTTCGCGGATTCTTAGAAATTATTATTACTCATTTATGCTATTACTCCCTTATTCTATTTATACTAGCTTCTTAACCCACTCAAAATAAACTACGTTAAGGAGCTTATCTATCACAAAATCTATGTACTTTCGTTATCAAATCGTAGCACTACGAGCCCCATAGTGTCGTTCTGTGGGTTACCATATTTCAAAAAAAAAATGTAAGGCTTGCGCAGAAATACTGACCTACGGAACATTTTCCAAGTCAGCAATTCGCAACCTCCAAAAAGTATAGTAAGACGCAGAGCACAGTATATATCGTCGAGTCATTCAACTTAATATGCACACTGCACACCATGCGCGCTGGTTGACGACTTCTACGACTAAGAACTGCTCATTTCCGATGGAATCCCCTTGTTTCTTTGTCTCTTTCGATTTGAGTGAAAGTAATTTAGTTATTAGTACACAATTCTACAATTTGTTACCCTAGAAAAGCTTATACTAACAAGAAGAAGAAGAAGTTATTAGTAAAGGTGTCGTCGTTTGCTGCGCATAGTGTGCAGGCACACATATTATGGCGCTATTCCACATTAGTTGACCCAAAACTGAAAATCGTGAATTTCGCTAAAACTTCGTCTGGGGAGGTCATTTGATACGCTGAACACAAATATGATGTTAATTTCGTGCGACAGCGCCATCCGATGAAGTTACGGCAGGATTACGGTAGGGGGTCAAAATCACGGATTTGCCCGAAACTTGGCCCAGAGGGGTTATTCGGCCCGCAGATGCTGCATATCGCATTGGTTTTGTACCGTAGCGTCATTTTCTCAGGTTACGGCAGGTATACGGTAGGGGGTCAAAATTTCATAATCCGCTGTAACTTTGAGAGGGGTTATTCGACATGCTGATTAGAAATGTCACACTTTCACTTTCTCCGCACGAAAACGTCTCCCAGCATGGTTGCGGTAGGTTTACAGTAGGGGGTCAAAATCTCAAATCGGCAAATGTAGCTTTCCCCTGTGCTTTGCTTAGGCAAAAGCCGCAGCAGGTTGTGTAGCGCGCGGCGATGGTCGTGTATGCAAAGCTTCACGATCGTCCGAATCGCCGTATACCCGTTTCAGGCAGAGCTATGTTTTATTCCCGTTACCGTGTAGCTACCGAAACCTGAGCTACGGTTCAAAACCAATGTGGCACTTGGCAACAGCGGGCCGAATAACCCCTCTGGGCCAAGTTTCGGGCAAATCCGTGATTTTAACCTTGTACCGTGTCCTACCGTAACTCCACCGGATGGCGCTGTCGCACGAAATAAACACCATATTCGTGTTCAGCATGCCAAATAACCCCTCTAGACGAAGTTTTAGCGAAATTCACGACTTTCAATTTTTGGGTCAACTAATGTGGAATAGTACCCATATTATATTACCAATGACTCGACGATACATTAAACTAGCTCCATTTTCCCTCACTCATTATAGAATCTTTTTCTGTCTCTGACTTTGGATGTTACCAGCGTCACCTCCCCCCTGCCCGCAAAGGTGACCCAATTTGCGATCAGCTAGTCAGCTATTTTCTCGTGTAATTCTTCTGTAGTTTCACTAAAATATCATTATTCAGACGTCTGCGCTGGTCCCTGGTAGTGCACTAGGCTGATCCTTGAGGAAGGTCGGTTAATTCTGGAAGAGTGAGAACGGCGTTCGAGCATCCATCGTTAAAGCTCGTCCGTTCGCGCACGCCTCGTTTCTATGGTCCGCCTTCGTCCCGGACTAGCTTTTCGGACTAGCTTTCTGCCAGTCATTCGATCTCATGGTTTTATCTTTTGCCGAATTACTGCACGTTATTTCTTTTTAGTCTCCTGCACTAGAACAGCTAATAAGCGCTTTATAAAGCGAACCTGACAAGAAAGTTGAACAGCAAATGGCTAACACTGGCTTACCATATGTGGTGCCGAAATTGTTGCATTATAACCAATGCCTTGTGGTTGATCCATATACGGTCCCCGAGGTGCAAAATCGCCTCTATCCGTAGCAAGCATTGCTTCGCGAACACGTGCTGATGAGAAGATTCCGGCTTCTTAACTGATTTATCTGATGATGCGATAAGCACTGATCACTAATTAACCCGCAGTTGAGCGGTCAAGAATGTATGGCACGTTTCTCAAAGTACATTGGGTTTACCCGCGTTATCTTACTATATATAAGGCTCAATGTTTGGCTGTATCTGTATGTCTTTGATTGCGACTAACAACTCCACTCTTGAACCGATCGTGATTAGACTTTGGATACTGCAGGTTACTGCGTAGGCACTAGAAGCTAATGCCCACAAAGGCGCAAAACTTAGGGGCGCCAACGCAATTTTGTTGGCCGCAGAGCGCATGGCCCGGCTCGCTCAAAGACGCTAAAAAGCGTACAAAAGCGCCCAAATTTTTCTAACCTTCATCCACTTTCCACTTTCTCGTGTGAGGAGACATAGAGAAAGTGAGGAGAGGTTAGAGAAATTCGGGTGCTACTGAGCGAGTCTGGACGGGGTCCATGACGCACCACGTACGCGCCCACTTACTACACTGCTTTTGCGCCTTCGTACGGCTTCACTCTTCAAAGCGGGGCGGTGTCATGGGCTACTTTATGTTATCGACCGATATCGATTCGATGTTTTTTCGGCAAAATTCGCAAAATTCGTCAAAATTCGAGCTGAGAGTTGGTCAAAAGGAACGAGTACGGATTTGCTGTCTATAGGCTGTCCCAAACGGCCCGGGCTTTACCGCCACATCGTACGGGCCTCTCGCCGCTCTCGCGAATGTATGGTAGTTGCCACACTAAGCGAACGTTTTATTCACCTGCAGAAGGCGCGCAGAATTAACATTAATTCTGCGCGGGACCTGCCGCTGAAGCAGGCAATCGAGCGCGGAATTACGTAGGTGCCAGAGGCACGCGCCACACTTGATCCGCTTAATCCACTTCTCTATTGGTCAAATCATCAAACTGACCAATAGTGAAGTGGATGAAGTGGATCAAGCGGATCAAGTATGGCGCTTGCCAGAGTAATGTTCAAGTTGGGGTCCCTCGCAGAATGGACGTCACTCACCGTGCTGGCTTCAATCCAAGTGACGTAAATTCTGCGCGAGACCCCAACCTGAACAAAATATTCGCTTACTCTGGCACCTACCTTATCAATTTGCAGCTGAACAAAACAGTCGCTTAAATCTGGCGCCTACCTATCTAGGTTTTTTATTGTCTTTCATTAGCAGCTTTTAGTTACAGCTCGAGCGTAGGGAAATGCTTAAAGGATTCTTCGCGAACACGAAGCGAGGCTTGAGCGATGCAGCCGGAGAACCCGCTTCTTTTAAGGCAGTATGTCATTCAAACTAAAACGTCAACATATAAAACACAAATAAAATATAAAATTTAAACAATCAAGAGACTGAAATAAACACTTACTTTCAAGGTTTCGTACAAGTTCCTCATTTGTGTTGCCACTGCTTCGCCAAGCCATTCTGCTATTCGAACGTATCGCCTCTGTAGTGCGTTTCGTTATGCGTCGAAAAGCAGTTAAGGCTTGCTGCAGGGTTACGCGCGTTTCGGGCATCAACGTGCTAGCGGCGACAACGGTTGCGACCAGTACACCTTGTACTACAATCACACGTCGCCACTTGTAGATTAGCCTGAACGAGCTGGTCACGCAGCGGCGTATTGCCATTTGTCTGTGCGCGTGCGTGTACGTATGCTGAACGAAAAATACCTTTACGACAACACGACAGAACTTTGAGCTTTTCATGCACTTGCGGATTCTCACTTGGTGTGCCTTTGATCAGAGTCTACTTGGTTATACATTACCAGTGTTTCCATGTTACCAGCACCAGCCTTATTATTGTTACTGTTGTCACTAGTGTGATTAGGGTTATCGCTTTACTGCTGCTTTGCTGACCGCTACAGTCTCATTTCTTCGAACGGAATCTCACTGAATGGTGAACGATTTTTTTTCAAAAATCTCGGAGAATTTTATTTTCCTCATTTCTGAAGCAAAAAAAATTGTAATGGCCATCATTCAGTTGTACAGCAGCAGTAAAAGCGGTAACATTGGTAACACTGGTAACGCTGTTAACACAAAACACTGATAACATTGTAACACGGGTGATGTATACCGCCCTAAAGATCAGGTAAAGCTTGCTTTATAGTGCGCAACTGAGCAATCTAGGCATTCACCGATGATATACGACCAAAGAAAGTGCCATTTATGTCCAAAACGCGAAAAACTTGCGCCCTTCCACTGTGACTACTTATCTGGAGAAAACGATATGGAAATGAACATGGTGCGGTAGCGTGATCAATTTTTGTAATTTCAAAAGTCCACTAGAAAGGTACGTTCGCAAGGAACAACTATTCGAGAGGCATGTAAAAAAGTAAAGCAAGAATTGCTGATGCGCCCAGTAAACATTTACATTTGCTCATACGCGATCAAATTCAATAACACAGATCTGCACCTCCAAAATGTCATCGATTAGTAGCACATAAAGCATTGTCCCAAAAAACAAAGAATTTTCTGCCGCAGCGCTCTGTAAGATATACCTCAGAAGAAGGAACAAAATTGAAGCAAACTGATTCGCAAGTGCAGGAAAGCTTTCGTGAGATACCAGCAAGGATAAAAACAACCAGGTAAAAAATGAGTTGTACTTAGCGAATCGACAGCCAGCGCGATAGAACAAGTTCTAACAAAAATCAACGGACATTTGAACACTGCGAGCTTGTCGAAAATACTACAATTCGAACATGCTCAACCCGAAAAATCAAGAAAGAAAAAGTGTTCTGCGGTTTGCACGGTCTTTTTTGAGCCAAAAATAACTAGCCAACCCTTCAAAGAAAATGAGAGCATTATAGAACGAAAGTCATGCTCGGGATATAAAAAAGAAGTTAACCTCCTCAACCAGCCTCTTCAACAAATATTTGCACAAACCATCAAAAACCAGTTCAAATTCAAGAACGATTACTAACCAAGCGCACACAGAAACCAAAACATAACTCAAAATGTATATTTAAAAATATAAGCCTCACAAAATATTCACAAACGCACCCCAGCACATTTTGGCTTCAAATTCAAAGAAATTAACTCCTCTGTGTTTAAACGAAGTGGCCACCTGCAAAGAGGTTGATGAAGCACGTTTGTTTTGCAGTCTCCAAAGATTCCGATTACCGATCAATAACAAGTAAGAGTGCAATGTTCTGCCATGTATTTGACTTCTCAAAATTTCTCACTATTTCCGCCGCTAAATGAGAATGGAAAAGCAGAGGAGTTTCCACATGTACCAAAGAAACTTCCTCACTTGTTTTTTTGCTGGAACGAACATGTTATGAATAAATTATGGAATTTTGACGTTCCATAGATCTCAGCGCGATCTTTGAGACTTTAAAATACGGTGGAAAATAAAAATGATCTACTGAAAAAGCGATTCATGCTGTTCTTTAGTTGAAAGTCTGGATCGAAGCTAACATCAATTTACATCACTGCTTTAACGGGTGAAAAACAGTTCCCCGTATGAACTGCAAAATGTCAAAGCTATGAACGCAAACAGAAACCTTTGGGTTTTGAATGTTTCGAAAAATGTGTTGTTTTTGTCAACAATCTATTGATTTATGCCATTAACAAGCTGCTTTGCGAAATGTATCGAACAAAACACCCGGAAGCGTAAAATTAGTAATAGTGGAAATTGAAAAGAGATGGGAAAACCCAAATCGAAATGTCCAATTGAGAAATTACTGCGATAAAGTACATTTAACCGTTCCAGGACGTTTTCGAGCGCATCCAGAACTGTGCTTGGTCAATCGATTATGTCGGCGGCAGTCATCGGCCCTAGTGCCCTTGTTTTCTTTGCATTTTAGAACTTCTGTGCAAAACATTTGTTTTTTTTTCTTTTCATTTCTGCCTCCCATCCAGTCTAGCTTTGCTGATTGATCTACTGGGCTTTTTTTGCTGAGGAAAAAATTTACCCGGCTGGCACGGGCGCTATGACTGAATTTCGCTTTCTAGCGCATGTAGCAGTCACAAAACAAACATACAGTCCTCGATAGAGGGCCTTAGAACCCTGACACAAGTTATTCTGGAACTTTTCAAAATGTTTATCTTTGAAGGGGAACATATTGCAACAGGTTTTTGACAATTTCAAAGAAAATGCATAAGCATCTTCAAAAATCTAACACATAGTCTAAGGATGACTATATATTCTTGCAAGCTATCTAGATAAAACTCATGTTACGCTCTGACATAAGATGTCAATCTATCAAACCTAACCAATAGGGTGCCTAGATAGCTGTGTATGCACATGCATAACAACAACTACTCAAAAAAAAACGTGCTAGTCAGTTCTATTAAAAAGCAACAAAAATAAGATGAAAACGTGGAAGATACGATGAAAACATGGAAACAATAGGTAATGAATAAACAATAAAATAATAACATGAAACGAACCATCCATGTATTTGCGATAGCTGTGACAAGAGTGAATGCTCCAGAAAACGCATTTCGCGTGCAACCGCGCCCACTAATCAAAGTTCATTCTGAAAACGAGATTTTTGGTAAAGGCAATTTGCTTGAATAATCTAGGTTCAAATGCAGATAAAAATTTACCTATAATCTGCCTATGGAGATACATAGCCGCTGTTTTGCAGCATCTCGAGCCTGAAAAACATGTTCTTTCATCCCTAAATTTTTGCACCATCAGTTAGACTGAGCTTCTTTAATTGTAGATATATTACAAGCTATAATCCATATGTACTCTGCAAGCAGGAGGTTTTGCGTGCATATCGCGAATTTCGATTTAATAATTGCTTAGGCAGGAGTCAACATCAATTATCGGCGCGTTTTGCGTCGTCAGGGCAGTTATGACTCGTTTTTCGAACGAGCTCAGCCCTATAGTCTTTTCCATAAAAGAAAAGGAGGCAAATGCAAAAAAGACCCTGCAGACGGTTTGGCCTGTCGTTGACACAAGAAAAGTCACAATTCGAAAGTATATTATTCCTCGTTAGGTCGCGGATTCCAATGCGATTAGATACCATTGTTCTAATTGAATATTCTACTAGAAATGAGCACATTTGTGATGACGCACATGAGACGTCAAATGCAGCGCACTTTCCCACATTTAAACAGAAAAAGACAATCTCTACTTCAGTTTCGATAGCAACATACTCCATATGCATGAGACGAGCCCTTACTATACACTTTTTAATTCTAGCTCTATTTATCAGATAAAGCCAATTAGAAAGAGTAATAGCATTGAAATGAGCACTAACGCACCCAGCAACCTTCCACATTCTCCTCCCTTGTCTTCCCAAATGTCCCCCCCCCCTTCCGTCAGCTGACGCTAACACATTTTCCGCGATTAAAGGGCCAAAGAGTGGGCCCCCTTTGTTCCCGAGAGTTTTTTGGCCCTCCGAGAGGGTGGAAAGAACGCGCTCTAGTGCCTGCGTGTGAATGTTCCAAATTGATCTGGCTCAGTCGGTGCGAAATTTGAGACGTTTTTCAAACATTTCGGTGGATGAAATTACGACTTTTCGGGGGCAACTAGTGCTTGATGCGCCTCATCCAGCGCTAAATCTTATTCTCGGGAGCTCATTGTCTTGCTCGAGCTGCTCACTTTTCATGTTCCGCTTCAGTGCGCTTGTGATCTATTCCCTCAAAGATTCCTTTGTTATTGGCCAGGGTATTTCCCACCAGCGTCTCCTTCCCCCATCTCCTCATTTCTATTCCTTGAGAAAAAAATGGCACTCAAATCCCCAAAATACACTTTCGCGATATCACCTGTAACTGAGCACTCTCCGAACAACATGAAATTAAATTTATTTTCATACTATTGTCTCCCACATGTATTCGTTTCAAGCGGCAGCTAATAAACAATTACATTTTCCATTTACTCGCGGTGCTGGTGCATTAGTACTTTCCGTTTCTCACATGGATACGTAGTCTCGGTTGTACTCCTTTCCTTTCTACAAGAAACATGCCAGAACTTTAAAGTCAAATATGATAGTTGAAATAAAAAAACACCGTGCAAAGTTCTCCTCTCAAAATTATGTGCGTATCAATCATTTCTTTTTTCATTCCACATATCCTTTACGATCATTGCTTCACCATATGTTCATAAATTTACATGAGCTTGTAAATTGATACTAATCTGGCAGTAAAAAGTGTAAGTGTATCACTTTCGCAAGAGTTGAGGAATTTAAAAAGCAAAGAACGCTCGCTCCCACACAAAAGTTCCCAAAATCTCAGTTGACACACAAACAAGTTGCGAAAGCTAATTAGGTGGCTACAAAGAGACATTCCAAAAGCAAGTCTTTTTCAATGCAGCCCACACATTTCCGAAATATTCGCACTTGTATATTGCTGAGCAAAGTAGCCATTTTGCGATAAATAGTTTCACATAAAAATCACTTCAACAAGGGTATTATAGCGATATTTCAAACGGAAATAGTATAAGTTACTTTGTACTTCAACACAGGAGCTATGGGGATAAAAGTGTCATTGACAAAGATACCATGTATTCTGAGACCAAAAACTCGAGAAGGTTCCGCATAACATGGACTAACAAGTTCCCACTGGTGCTCTAACGCGTTTGATAGATTTTCTACTTGAAATTCGTAAAAAAAACATGTTCGAGCTTGTTGAAATAGACTTGTTAAACAAGTGTATGACAGCGGACTCAAGTATCCTAAGTTCAGAATGGATAATATCCGAGCCTAGAGCCTTGGCATGATGATAGTTAGAGGAAAATGTCATTAGTCAAGGTGATGAACAGTTTTTTACCACTCTTCCTATGATCTGGATCCTAAAGAGTAATCTGTAGGGCCTCGGGCAGAGTTTACGCGATTTTATCGTCGCGATTCGTCGCTACAAGACAAATGTTACGAGTTCATTGCATGCCGATCTTCTTGCATTTCGGTTATGATAGTTTTTCAACACGACTAATCGTGACTAACTATCGCAGCCGAAAGACAAGAAGATCGGCATGCAATGAACACGTAACATTTGTCTTGTAGCGATGAATCGCGACGATGAAATCGCGTGAACTCTGTCCGAGCCCTAAGGCTAACTTATTGATGATACAGAGCTAATGAGATATGTGTTTCATAACAATGAAATTGTTTTCAAAAACAAAATCTTAGCCGAGAAAGAGCTCTTTGATTTCTCATAGAGTTTCGTATTTGCATACCAGAAGGAAATGATCTTTTTGATTTTTTGATGATTTTTGCCAACTTATCATATACGCGCGAGTTGAATGCAGTAATGAGAAAAAATTATAATAATAAAACGACATTAAATCAAAATAATGTACTGGGGATATTTTCACGTGCATTTATCCTATAATTTTCTAGACGTAAAGCCCAGTGAAGCAATTTCATTAGTACCGAGTCATTGTAACTTAATACGCGTATTGCCACTATGCACGCTACTGACGACGTGAACAAAACTGCTCATTACTGATGAATTCTCCTGGTTTCCTTATCTCTTTTGGTCTGACTGGATATGAGTTTATTCTTGATAAACATTTATACAGTTTGTTGCGCTACATAATGTTTTATTGAGGAGTTACCAAATGTTTTATTGAGAAGTTGCTAGAACGTATGTTGTGTTTACCGCGCATAGTGTGCAGACTCACATATCGAGCTGATGACTCGAGAATAGAACGAATTTACTTTTCAGTCAACCTAATTTATACACACGAAGTGAATGCTATGACGAGGGGAATAATTACACAATGAAGTCAATGAAGATAATATACAAGGGCTTTTTGAGTGCATTTTTCCTATAATTTAGTAGATATAAAGCTGCAATTTCTAGTGATTGCATATAAATGAGCTGCTTTCCACAATAGTAGTTCTAGTTCTCGCCAGTAGGCACACGTCAAATCACATCTTCTCAAGACTCTCATCCTTATCGTCTAGCTCTAGCATCTCACTCACTCAATCGAGTGTTCACCCTGCGGCTACTCGCACATTTACAACTAACATCAATTCTCGAGCAGATTTCGTTTCCAGAGCACATTTCGAGCAAGACGGCACTAGCCAAGAACGAAGCGAACAACGTCGACGTTTTGCGACGACTCGGCTCCGGCCACAGCCATCGCCACCCAGCAGCCCCCATCGCACTGCCACCACGCCCCCAACGACTCGCCATGAGGCATATAGTGATGTTGGGCACAAGCCCGCGAACGCAACGCTCAGCTTCTAGTGTTCAGGTACTTTAGTCCTTCTTTGGGCAAACATTCCTTTTTTTGTCAAACATAATGTGCTAGACATCATGATAATGAGTTCCCGTTTTATAATGTTTTTCTCCAAATACCCGAAAAGCATTTATCAAGATATTTTTTCCAGTCATGCATTTCATCATCACTTTTTTTTCAAATTTTCGAAAGAAATGATCATTCTATATGCAAATTTCTGAATTTTTATTATCCCAAAATAAAATGATATTTTTGGCGAAACTCTGTCGTGTTCAATGATAATGACTTTGCGATATTTATTAGGTTTTTTGCTATTGTTCAATAAGTGTAGTTTACCCTTTCTTGGAATATTCCTTTTATGGATATAAAATGTCTTGACATAATGATGGTGAATTCGCCATTTTCGATTTTTTTCAATTCTTGAAAAACTACCATCAAAATATCCTTTCAAATATTTTGCGGGTTCCTTCATTCTTTCTCACCTCAAAAGACTGTGACCAAATTGTATTGTTCAAGCAAGCACTTTTCTGGCGCTCTAATCGCGAATAAAAATGTAATTTTTCATAAAAAAACTGGGAATTCTTGTAATTCCTCTTTAAATTCAGACAATCTAAAATCAAAATTTCTGCAAGCTCCCTATCTTCATGCAAATTTGAGTTTGTATTATCCCACAATATGTTTGGCTAAAAATACATTGTTGTGCATAGTGATAATGACTCTGCGGTATTTGCAGAAATCGCTATTGCATTTAGTAATTAATTGAGTCATCTTTTCAATAGACAAAAACAATCTATTACTTTTTTCCATATTATATTGGGATAAGAAAAGCATTTTCTTGATCTAGGATTCACTAAAGTCTGTTCTTGAATAGGGGGATTCCCATTAATATTTGAGTAAGGTTATGAAAAATTCACGTTCAGAAAGCTCAACCGAGTTGGAGATCTTTTTATGCTCTTATCGCTGGCAAATCACAAGAATATCTTCATCCTTAAACAAGATTCTTGGTCCGTCCTAATTTTGCAACTAATTCAATTCAAATATTTTCCAATAATTTCAGGAAAGGAGGTACTTGTGCTTTTTGCATCATTACGAAGCAGTGCTTTGCGCCATATTTTCTTTTGAATCATTTGAAGAATGAGCAATAATCAAATATCTTGTTGTGTGAGATTACTTTCCTGAATCTTCATTGAGTTTAAAATGTTTTTCATAATTCATCGTTGATAGGTTAGACTCCTTTTCGATTCAAATATCTAGATAGAGTAAACGATTCTTTCAAGCTCTTTTTCCGCTAGTCCTTCGCCCAATTTTCATGCAAATTCTGGCAATTTTGCATAATCCTAGAACAATGTGATATCTTTTCCCTTTGTATTGGCATACGCATTAAGAAAACTAATTCAATCGTATATTTATCCCAAAGTTAGCAGTTTCTAGAAAATTACTTCGTTGCAGAACGTCTCTCTATTTTCCACTGCAAATGTAATTTTCTCGTTGATATTTTTACTCAAGCAGCACTTGAGAAAATAAAATTGCTGCAAGTGCATGGTAAACCGATCCGAAAAGGCACAAAACTCAAAGTTTTCAAAATTTTGGACTGCTGTCATCAAAATCGATAGCGTTCGCGTTTGTGGCTGTCTAGCAGGAGTTTTGCAAATTTCCCACATGGTCTCGTTCGTTGGAATTACCCTATAAAACTACACTACCGCATCCCACAACAATTTGATTGCCTAGAATGTTCCCAAATTACGTCAAGTCGATAGCTAATGTCAATGAAAAAAAGCTTTATGAAGGGCTGAAACAACTCGCACTCAAGTCGTGAAACTTTATGGGATTTTTTTGGCTATGCAAAAACGGCTTTTTGTGCGAAAATGTCGTCAAGGTTAGCGAACCAATCTCATCTCGGAAGCTCTAAATCTCAGATTCGGCGCCATGGAGATAAATACTCAAGATATTAGTGCAGAAAATATCGTACATGTATGATTTACTCAATTTTTCATGCTGAAGCTTGAAAGTGATAAACAATTTTGTCGGAGTCTTATTTTAGACCAGTTAATGCAAGAAGCTCGAATATTTTTAACATTCAGCTTCTATTCAAGACGGAGTTACTTTTTGAATAATGAAAAATTAGATAAATGAACAAACAAGTAAGTGAAGAAGTAAATAAATATCAGAAGCGCCGTTAGCATGACTTGCTTTTTTTTCTGCAAATTTGTCACTAAAAGAACATATTACCGATGAAAACGCCCGCATACTGCACTTAAGAAGTGCATACCAAATTATAGGATGCTACTGGCATCTCATTCTTATTGTACATAATAATTATGAATAATTTAGCTTCCGCCCGACTTCAGCTCTGCAGCATCCACTGTCCCCATCTATCACTACAATACAAGCGATTTCATCATTGATTTACGTGAAAATGCACAACAAGAACCGTCGTCAAGTGTCGAACAATCCGCAAGGTCTAGCGTAAGTTTAGCCATTATAAGCTTGTGAGAAACTGCCTCAAAAGTCTAGACTTATCCCCACGGACTCATAAGAAATGACTTGTACCCTTATACAAAACACTCACTCATTCAAAAAGCCAGCACTTATCGCGCTATTTTCTCCCATAAACTTAGCGAAACCATAGAAATGTACTATATATTTGGTTCACGCAATTTGTTATGAATGACTGCCCTATAATTATAGCTCAAGGACCTACTTCACACGCGATGGGAAGAAGCTAAGAGCAAAAACGCTTTTAATTATGGACTCAATTGTATGTACAAATTACTCGATGGACATTACAATCTATCAATGCAGGTATGTCATCAAAGTCTAAAAACGCTATGCACTCTTTCTTTGTGTGGTTAAACATCGTTGAGAGAAGGGGCATTGTTTGCTCAACGTTTAGCCTATTTGTCGCACGTATTCTCATGCTTTCACAAGAAAAAAGGATTTGCATATTATATGTGAATATTTGATATCTAATTTGAATAAACTCACGTTGATTTAATCCGTTTGCTTCATTTTTTACTTCTAATTTGTTTGTTTTTATAAAATTGCTGGAAAATCTGGTTCAAAAAAGGTATCATAGCCACATCGTGACATCACATAAAAATTAACAGAGTAGAAATAAAGCAACTGATCTCAATAAATATAGATATTAAACAGATAACTGAATGATAATAAAAATAAAATCTTCCATAAAAGCGTTAATAATGACAGGAAAACTTTTGAACGATCTAAGTCGTTTACGTAATTTTTCAGTACTTCGTTCCAAGGTTTTTATCTTCAAAGCATTCAAACTTTGACTTGAAAGAGGGTGGTAAATTTTGATAAAAGTGTGGATTGGTTCGCAAAGATATTGATCTACTGGATTTTAATCTTCTTACATACCTAGTACTGTTTACTTGTAGTCTTCTTCCCCTTCTTTTTCAAGTGAATCACTTCAGAAAAAACAAACAGCAACTTTGTAAGCTCTTTAGATATAATCTGATTATGAAACTTGAGATTTACTTCCTGCTGAAGATTTTTTTGTCTTACCCTAATCATGTCTAATGCTATCCCCTCTATTCCTTCTCTTTTTTTTTTCTGTCAAAATTCGATCCAGACAAAAAATTTTTTGAGCCCCTCATGTTGTCTTCTATTCCATTAAAAAACCCCTTATCCATATTTAGTCGTGACAGATGCATTTCTTCATCACAACCTCACTAGATTCCTCTTACTAGATTATAATGCATATCGAAGCATGTGCAAATATGCATACTAAATATCTTATTCTGCCGTCTCCGAACGATATCTAACCACGCTAAGAGTGTGCTGCGACTTATTTTTTCAACTCCTCGCTCTTTTATCGATCTAAGCCGCAGAAAAAGCATCCATTTAGTTTGATGTATCTCCAAAAAAATCGTAGAAAAAACCATTCTGATAATAATCAGCACTGATGCTAATCTCACCCAATCCCTTTACGATCTTCAAGAGCGATAAGCCCTAATGCCTACATGTTTTCGCCCTCGATTCTGCCGAAAAGGAATTGCGTACGCGTGGGTGTGCACGGCCCGAAATAGACCTAACTAGACGCACACCCATCTGCTTCAATTATCCAAAACTGTCATTACCCAATTTCACCCGGGAGTTTTTTCAATGCTTTCGTTGTTATTTGGTCGAAGGAGGATCGAAACTGAAATGCGTGCCAAAGCATAGTTGCTATGCAGCGCATGGAACATCCGGGAAGGGGGGATGTTTTGAAATGGATGTTTGCTTGGAGTGATGTGGTGAAACTACAAGATTAGGAGGGCAGATTGAATTAGAGCTACATTCAAGACATGTTGGTGGGAAACGCTTGAAGTAAATGAGCAACAGTCTAGAAAAAATTTCGTTACTTCACACACTTGGTAGGGCAAAACAAAATTGCCTAATCTGTCCTTAAAACAATTTCTCGATATAAGCATGCTTGGCTTTTCGCCAAACTCCTTTTTTGTGCATTTCTCTACTCAACTTCATTAAGGCATCATTTATGAATGAGTTGCATTGCAGCATAATGAATGAATCTTATTCGTGAATGTAACATCACTATGACTTTTGTGCCAACATTTTTTCACCTCTGTCTGCGAATACATACTGAAATGAAACATGTATTTTGCACCAATCGTAAGCCTCCCTAAATCCAAAAAATCCTTTATATGACACTAGTCAAAGGAAAGTAATTGAGTGCTTTTCAGTACTAACAAGGGAATGGTCAGAAGTCGAAGTGGCCAATCCATACAAGCTGCATACCATTCGATGCAGTTTAGGATGCTGATTTCAAATCTGTCTTCCATATCTGCAGAGCGCCTTTGAAGGCGAAGTTATGAGCAGCTTTAATGCGAAAAAATCGTAAACAAAAATTGCCAAATTAGGCACATTATTGCTCTTTCAGCTCACCTCTAGGCATGGGCCATACGAGGTGACCTAGTTGCATGTTTTGGTCCAACACTGAGCCAAGAATGGCTTTGTACAGCCAAGTTTGCACTTTACACGCACAATTTCTTAGCAAAATAATGGCATTCAACGGCTTATAATATCCCTCCACAAAAGCGTTCTGCAGATAAGGTAGACAGATTTAGAGTCAGCATTTTATGCCGCATCTAATGGTATGCAGCTTGTACGGATTCGCCGCTTCGACTTCTGACCATTCCCTTGTAAGCCAAGATATGACAACAAAAACTACTGTCGTCATAATTTGACAATGGAGGCTGAACAAACGCTTGTTCAGTGGTTTATCGGAAGCTGTATTTTTCTAGCTTCGGTCGCAAAAAATCCACAAAGTTCATGTGATTGTGATCCTAGTTCTGGTTTCCTTCTCAACTGAAAGGAAATCGTACCAATTGGATGTATTTACACAAAAACTCGTAATGCTCGAATTTTTTCTTTTTCATAGAAATTGCTATTGCTGGAAAATTTTTAACACATGAGTGAAATATTGCAAACACTTTACACAACGAGAAATATGCCACAAATGGAAACGTCGCCTGATGGTTATATGGAGTTCATTTCTAGGAAAATAGAACAATAAGTCTTTATACAAAAATGCTACATTTGAGAACTTTAGTAAAATCAGGAGAGTGCTTAGTAGTTCATCTGAAGACGGAATTTCGTGGCGCTTGTCTTAATGAAAGATATAGACGAAGTTCATAATTTGCTACAAAAATCTGAGAACGCCGAGCTAGAGGGGTGGTTAGTTTGACTTCTGAAGATATGTCTTGCCAAGATTTTTATGCTTTCTAGCGAACAATGAAAAGAATACTGATGAAATAGCACTGATCTAAAGGCTTCCTCACTCTTCCCTCTGCCCTAACAAATCAATTCTTTTGTTCACAATGCACATTTGCCCCGAGCTTTCTCCAATTTACTCTTTACCTTTATCTATTTCAGCTCAATGTCGAACGAGGTGAACTACGACGGAAGCCTATGCGTTTCAAGAATATCCGAGAACCTTTCAACCATTTGCGATGGAATTTTACGAAATTGCATGAAAATGAGGTGAGTCTCATAGAAGCCCAAAAGTGCGTCATCCTCTGTCAATCCTACGATTAATCGCTTTGACGCATTTCGACATAATCTCAGAGGCTCGGCAATAAATCAACAGCCATATCCGGGCTAACGATGTTTGATTTATGCTCGTCACATAGCAAATGCCTTCGAAGAAAAGTCGCTCTAATTTTGCAGATATTGCTCTATTTACGATGTGAAGATCGGCCTATAACTAATGATGCTCTTGATCGACATGTAATTGCGGTTAATGCGAGTCCACTTGAACGAGATCATAGTTTGATCATACCGACTATAAATAAGTGCTTACCACAGGTGAGTGAAAGGGAGTTTGACTCTACAAAGTAGGTAGGATAATTCTTGAGCCAAAAAACCCAAAGTTTCTTCGGTTTTAATAGTTCTGCTCTTAATTTCAGCTGGAGAAAAAAATCATGCGCTTTCTAGTGAATCAAATTGCAGTGCAAAAACTGTTGAAGACAAACACTTTCATTGGTTGCTGGGAATGCTGAAGAGCCCAAAAAATTATAATTTTACTCTTGCTCTCGATTTTGTGCTTACCCTTTTTAACTAATTACAAGACCATAGCAAAATACTATAAACGCGTACAACGAAAAAATGTCTTACTGGAACCGCATTTTGAACAAATTCTTCTGGAATTTTCATCTATCTTATTTTCAACCTAATACATGCAGCTTATGTACATCTTAAAATCATCATCAATCACGATAAAAGCCAATGTGCTCTAATCCACAAGAAGCACTTCTTTGGGGATATGAGCGAGACTATGCAGCTGACACAAAATCCCGCTAGAATCCCGTCTTGCTTCTTTGGGATAGGAAAAAAAGGCAAACATTGCTTTTAGAAACGTTGCAAAGTTGCAAGATGAGAATGACAGACAAGATATATGTAGAGCAAAAGCAAAAAAAAAGACGAGGAAAAAGATTGAAAGGCCAATTAACCGGCCATGCTGAATCTGTCGCACTTTTTCGTTGAGAAGCATCATTAGTACAAGTAATTTTGATTAAAAAGGCAGCCTGACAAGGATGGTGGATCCCCCCTCTTGCGCCCTCTAAGAAAGGGTCGCAAGATCGTCAAGAGTAGCTTACATGGGTCATAAATGAGAATGACAGCAGACTTCGAGCTGACTTTTCACTTGTGAAGAATCAAAATAATCAGTGAAAATTTTTGAAAACCTCAAAAAGCTGTTTAGAAATTCTTTTGAGGGCATGGCAACTCAAAAAAATGCTAAAAACGTGGTCAAGTCTGCGCCGTTTTGCTCAAGAAAACTGCCCTTATTCCAGAAAAAGTTTTTTTTGAACCGCCACCACTTACTAGCCATACTTATCAAATTCAGGTTCTTACATCGACTGCAATTCGAATAGCAACTGATATGATGCTGCTGGTGGCTGATGATTCTTACAACATATTATTCAACAGTTTATTGGGACAAGCTTCCGTCAATCACCTTCATTTGCATTACCTTCGTTGGCCCTACGAGAGTGATCTTATCTACAGGGTTGGTTTTCTTTTTTTCCTTTTTTTTTGATAGACTTATATTTCAAGTTTTCAATCCCATAATTATTCAGTAGAGCATATAAACGATGTGTCACCTTCCTATCAACATTTATGTTGTTTGTTTCAGCGCTTCGAGGTTTTGAAAGATTCTCCGAATGTCTATACTATTGAACCACCGCATTGGATATGTAGCGCATTTGCATTTCAGTTGACGAGTATGGCCGAATATGATTCGTTTTTGAGGTGATTACTTCAAGGAATTAATAACGTTTACAATTTATACTTTAACCAAAATCGACGAAGCTAAAGGTACACATGAAATAATTAGGTATTTCGCAAAATATTGCCTCTTAATCTCCCCAGGCATTTCTTTTTGCGCGTAAGCAAAATCGCATAAGTGTAAAAGCTATTAGATGCGAAGATAGACAAGAGTGTAGAAGCTATCAAAACAGCTAAAGCAACTGAGAAGTAAACATTGATGCTGGATGCAAAACGAGCAAAGACAAAACATGTGATGGCGCAGTAGTTTAGCTTTGTTTTGCATGAAAAAAGTCGATAGTGCTACTGGAAGCGAGGAGTTGAACAGAGCAAACAAAATCAGGAATCAAGTCTTGCTTATCCAGTTAAAGCCGTTCAAACTCTTTGGGAGTGATGGGGATAGAAAAAGATTTTTTGGCAAGATCAATCAATAAGATAAAGTTAATGTTGAGAACAGCGTTATATATAAAGCGTTGGAGATTCTTATTTTCTCATTCTCTTCTAGTTCTGGTTTATGATGCATATATGCGTTTACATATCGTACGCACTTTATGTTCCTCATTTTACGAGGTAATAAACAGAATTAGTTCCCTTGAAATTAGCCAGAAGCTGGAGCAGCCAGAAAAGCCAAGGGAAAAGATTTGATTAATGAACCCCTTAAAGGCAGCGGACAGGGAAAATGGACCCCTGCCAGATTTTGGTAGTTTCGGGTAGTGGACCCCCCAAGTACACCGTAGCCCCAACCCCACATTCCAATTCATGCGCTAAGTCCTGAAAAAAGCGCTTCAAAACTCCACCAGCCCCGCCCACTTGCATTGAGTGGGCGTTATTGGTGGAAGTTTGAAGCGCTTTTTTCAGGACTTAGCGCATCAATTGGAAGTTGGGGTTGGGGCTACGGTGTACTTGGGGGGTCCACTACCCGAAACTACCAGAATCTGACAGGGGTCCATTTTGCCTGTCCACTGCCTTTAATTATCTGTACTTGAAGACCGTCAGAGCTTTGACTAGGTGAGCTACAACCGAAACAGACAAAAATGGTTCAAGAATATCTCGTTACTCGTAATTTAGTCATTTGTTTTAGTCAATTACAATTTATTGAAAAAACTCAATTAAAATTGGCGACTGCTATTTTATCACTTCTTATGCCATTTTACAGAAATTTTACTCGCTGTGTGGAATTCCTTACTGCACAGAACCAGGCGCATAATGTGTTCATTACGCGAGCGCAGCCAATTCGTACCTCAGGACCAGAAAGGCAAGAAGACAGAGAGGGGAAAAGGCCACAGCTGGTGACAGCTTATGTTTTTCCAAGAGTCAATGCTTCAGGTAGGTCAGGTGGAAGAGATGTCAGGGAAGATGGATTTGCGCGGGGCCATTTTTCAATCTTAGAGCTCCAAAAATTCCAGGTGCAAAACCTCCAACAAATTTCAATCCAGCTGCATGCGAACTTGCGGGATGTTTGACTTCTTATAGTGAGTTTTGTATATCCGTAATTTTCATGTATTTGCTTTGAAGCTATTAGTCCATAGTGTGAACGATATAAGCCTCACTAAATCGCCTGTCTTCCAGCAATCCGCTTTTTCGAATCAGTTAGCGAGCAATCCGCAGTGAGAATAATCGAAGAGGAAGCTCAGCTACCTAGCGATGTATTTCACAAGGTTTGTGGATCATTTTCTCTTGAGCGAAATGAATTCACACAGCTAAGAATAGCATATACCTTTATAAGCAAACGACAGAATGCGGAAAACAAGTTTGGAGCAGTTAATAAGACTTCTGTTTTGCTTTCAACTCAAAGATATCAGGGTGAAAATGAAAAGCGATGGAGTACTAAGGAAATTTACTAGGAAAGTCACCAAGAAAACACCACTAAATTGTTCGAGCATTAGCTTTGAAATCCTTGCCTCCTCCCCCCGCCCTTCAAGAGAAACTCCCCGAGTTACAGACACACTTACTACTTGAAAGAATTAGCATTATATTGTGGAAAACTTTAACCTAAACCGCTTGAATTCCGTAAAACCTCGATACCAATTACAAAAGCGCAGCGCACCTTCTTCTTTCAGATCAGTCTCTCGTCAGTCATAAAAGGGATAAAGTAAGTGGAGATGATCACTCTCTCACTCCGCTTTTCCCTTTTATCATTGGCGAGAAACTAAAGGAGAAATTTCCTTACATACAAATGACTTGCTAGTTTCGCTTCATTGTGACTGCGAATTCTTTCAATTCCCAGACAAATGATATTTTTCTTACGTACAAATGCCAATTTCACGCAAAACATGGTGACTGCTTCTTAAAATTACGGCTTTCCAGCTGGCCTTGGACTTCTCCGACATTCTGAACAACCGCCCTATCGGGACATCTCACTGTACACACAACAACCACCTAGAGGTTTGTGATTTGGAAATGCTTCATTTTAACACGTTGACGACGAGCTGTTTTTTTCACGTCTGTCCCTGTGGACGAACCGTTTCCGGGCATTTTAACATCCGGCTGCATATATGTGTGTATGCATCTATGCGTGAAGTACAAAAATGCAAGTGGGCGGGGAAACTCCGCCCACTTTTGGCAAGCCCCGCCCACTTTTCAAAAATGCTGGAAATTGCTCAAAATCAATGAATTCGTGCAAATTCCGGCATTTTTGAAAAGTGGGCGAAGCTTGCCACTCAGGGGGCGGGGCCTGCATAATGGGGCGCGGGGTCAAAATCAAGATTATTTGAGGTTCCCATCATCTACGAGCTTTTCTATGCGATTTGAGAACGAAAAAAGTTTTTTGTACAGGACAACGGATTGGGCGGAGTTTGCCAAAAGAGGGGCGGGGCCAACATGAAAAAATTCCGAGCCTAGACTGATTATATGAACACAAATTGGAACCATTGTGCACATTCGAACTGGTATTTAGGGTGTCGCGCACCATTGCGCGACATCGTCCACAGGGACAGACTGCCTGTCGCGCACCATTGCGCGACACTGTCGTCAACGTGTTAAGCACCTGTCACCTTGAAAAGGTTGAAAACGAGAATGCGGAAACGTCAATGGATCTGACAGCTCCCTTGTGTAATAATAAGATCCTCAACCTCTCTCGTTGATAACGGATCACAATTTGCACCGGTACAAGAAAATTTTTGAAGAAATAAGTTTCAGGACCTGACATCGCCTGAAATCGACGAACTACGTGACAGTTTCCAAATGTTCACACCTCATTCGCCCAATGTTGGAAGCAGAACTGGAAGAGGTCGAAGTGCTTCCGATAAAGGTCTCAAAGGTCGAGAAAATTTCCCGTTTGCTGACGATGATGCAAATCTTTCATTAGTTTAGATTACCGTGAAATGTGATTGAGGATTTCTATAACTTATGCTGTATTTGAACCTATCTCTTCGGTATATAATCGATCAACTTTCAACATATCATTCTTCTAACAAATAGGATACGATGTTTATTGTGATGAACATTACGGACTACGAAGTTGTTTTCAACGGCTTCCTTTAATTGAACTTATTGCTGTGCTCTATGACTGCTGTCGTTGTGCACTGACTATAACAATTGGTGAGAAATGAAACCATTAGTAACTTTGACTGTTTGATAAGAGAACAGCGAAGAAAAAGAGGAGGAAGAAGAAAAATGGTTATGCGGAGAGGATGGAATCACTATGCGGTGTACTAAACTGAAAGAAGCAAGAAATTTGTGCTTAGTATGTCTCAGATAATTTTGAATTCGCTAGCAACACCCCTGTTTTCCTTAACAGATGCACAAAATGCGCTGCAATCCCCCAAACAAGTGTTAGCCATGGCGTCAACAGCTGCGATAACTTTAATTTTTCTGACTTGACCTCCACGACAAAGAGAAGGCGAAATCATGGAAGGAGATATTAATTTCAAGCAAATCTTCACCTATCATGAGCAAAAGCAACTATTGTCAGTTTGATGTTAGAATGTCGGATTGAGTAATCTAATAATTGCTAAGAACAGGGGCATGACTGCGGGCATGCGTGAGTGGGAAAAGATAGATTTAGAGTACTGCAGCAGAGTTCATGTATTAGGCACGTCAACTGGATTCAAATAGTCATGTTATTACTGTCGAGACATGAGGGGCGCTACATTGATAAAGTGTCTTTCATCTTATGGGACACTCACTGGCGAGGAAACAAAACGACAAGAGAACTTGACTGTTTTACATGTTAAGAGAAATCCTACATAATTTTTAGACTTTTGAGCTGACAATGAGCTGCAAAACTAACAATGCAAAACAATGCCTGCACACTTCTTCCACATCATGAAAAACCTCGAACGAATTCGGCTAGTTCGAAAGTTTAACCTACGCATGGCAACGCCTCACCAAGATCTGTAACCCATGGACAAGGAGATGAAAACAGAAGGACGAAAACAAAAACAGATAAAAACAGTATTACTGTATTGACCGGGCATCAGAAAAGCCAAACGAACACCCATAGAGCGGATATGGAAATTTAGCAGGATATTTTGACATACTCAAAAAAGAAACTTATAAATAGAATAGTACCCAGTGGAAAACCCTTTGAATGCATGCAGGGAGGATGGTGATAGTTAAAGATGGATAACATTAGGGAAAATATAGGGGGCTAACTCGTATGCAAATTTGGTTCTTATGCAATCTTATGCATATATGAGTCTGCAGAATATAGGTAGGAAGCCAAACTTCTAACACTACTATGTTTGTTGACAGAAAGTAAGGAAAATTGGTTAGGAAGAAATTCAGTAAGATTTGACGACAAAAAAAAGAAAAATGAGTACTCACTTTTTATCCTTGCAATCGTGGAGGGATACTTGTTTCGTTTAGCATATACGTTCTATAATTATTTGCACGGAAACTGTCGTCGGAAATCAAAAACCGTCTGTTTTCAACCTGTAACATCATGCTCAGAGAGAATATAAGGGCAACCATGGATTTACCTGGAAATTTCCTAAGAAGGCCTCCGTCAGAAGCTTTAAAATGCCTTCTTTCTCTTCCGAAAAATAGCAAGCGGCTGCGCAATTACGATTAAAAGGTAACTTAAAGCATGGAAACTAGTATTACCATTTCAAATGCAGACAAAAGTAAATGAGGCAAAACACACCTGATGCTTTTCTACTATCCTTTTCGAACCGATTGCTAAATAGTCGTCTACATTCCTTCTGTTTTGGTAAATCCGCAGTAAACGAAGTTGGTGCAACCGTAGAAGGATAAATATCACAACCAGAACAGCCGTGCCAGGTAACAGTGCCAAAAGGCCTATCTAAAAAAAACTACTGGTTAAACGCATAGATTGATGCAAAAGCAAAAGTATGCCATATGAGAAACGATGCCGAATGCACTCGTTCGGTGCTCTTATCCAAAAAAAAGGTGCATGTGCACTGGATTTAGCTGTTATCAACCCCTTTCATCGCTAAATGTACTGCGGGGATGAGGCGCTAAGAAACTGCGAAGGTCGTAAGTCTTACTTTTCCAATTTTAGAAAAATTCACTACTCTTCAATAGCAGCAATAAATCAGATCTACCTTATGAGGAGTCGGTCAGGACTCAACTTAGCCTTACCAAACAAGATGTATATTCGAACTCGCCTTTGAAGACAGCGTCCTTGCAAATCTGCAGTGGGGATCAAACGTGGTAGGAAATTTTGGGGCCCCAACTAACAAGGGAATGGTCAGAAGTCGAAGTGGCCAAACCAAAGAAGCTGTATATCATTCGATGCAGTATAAAACGCTGACTTCGAATCTGTCTTCCTTAACTGCTTCCCTCTTCTGTGGACGAAGCTACAAGCGGTTTTATGGTGAAAAAATTATACATAAAAACAGCAAAATTGAGCACATTGTTGCACTTTTAGCTCGGCTTCTGGCTTCAAAAATTTTAAGTAAGCTAGCTGCATGTTTTGGCAAAGCATTGAGGCGAACGAGGCTCTGTACGGCTATATTTTCAACTTCAAGCATAATTTCTAAACAAAATAATGGTCTTTAATTGCTTATAACTTCGTCCGGAAAAGCGAAGCAGATAAAGAAGACAGATTTAGAGTCAGCGCTTCATGCTGCATCTAACGCTGCGCAGCTTGTCTGGAATGGCCACTTCGATTTCTGACCATTCTCCTGTAAGGCATTACCCAAGCGGCAGCGCAGGTGACTCACTAACGGCTGAGATATACGCCTCCAAACTGGACCCCAGGATCGTATTCGCATGGAATCATGGCGCAACCCAATCAGTATCGCGCGAGCCCACTGGTTGCACCATGAATCCATGCGAGATACGATCTTGGGATCCAGTTTCGAGGGGAATATCTCAGCCGTCAGAACACTACCTGAGCTGCCAGTTTGGCAATGCTTGGTTAAGGCCCAAAATTACTATCCACGTGAAATCCCCATATGTCCAGATTTGCCTGGACGCTGTTTTAAAGCTAATCTCAAATATGTTTACAATCTGCTGAGCTATTATCTAGGAGGAGTTATCAGCGTTTAAGAGTGTGGATTCGTCAAGTATTCTGTAGCACGGATTCCACGAAGAATGTTCAAAACCACTTATTTAGGCTTTTATTAGGTGTCTCTCTTGTAGTTAGTATACTCATAAGTGTAATTTCGCGCCCTCGTCTGCTTCTTAACAATTTTCATTCACTGAGACTTGAATAATCCTCACATTCAAATGCTCATAACTCCTTTCAGAAAATCGTTCAACAGTAACAATATATGCTTTAAGTCAGCGTTTTAAGGCGAGTCCGATAATCTACGGCTTGGCAGCTGGGTTAAGCTCGTTAGCCTGACACAAATGCTTATCTAAACTACTCCTTTGGACTGATTTAACGGTTTCAGGCATCACGGATGAATACCTACGACACAGAGTCGTTAGTCGTAGAAAATGCGTGATACCCACTGAAGGACCCGCAAATTGTAAGGCAATGGTGGAAATTAATAGGTACCAAACTACCGTACTCACTTCTTTGACATCCGTAACTAACCGCTGCACCAGTCGATTTCTTTCACTGTGTGCTTTGGTATAAAGTTCATATCCTAGCATTCCTAATCCAGCTATGAAGGCAGGAAATGCAATGGAGACTGCAAGGAAGGATCGCGACGCACCTAAAAAACTTTAATATTTGTGAGCTAACCATATGATAAAATTGTCATTGATAAGGAGAAAAAACATAGTCAATCATTCATAGCACTGGGTATGAGGAAGACGAACGTAAGATCAAGGATGAAGAGTAAGAATCAGACATGACTTCATGTCAGTTAAGTGATATGAATTGCGAGGCCAGCTGATCATTTTGTATCCCTTTGTTCGTGCCAATGTGCCTGTCAGGGAGGAGCGGTAGACTGACAAAGCAACAGGAATAAAAGGAGCCATATTTTGAAAAAATAAAAGCAGAAAATTTAACGACACAATGCAAAATCTGTTACAAATGTTGCAGATTCGGTCAACTGCGAGACGGGATAAATTGGCCCGTCTCTCCCGGAGAAATCCCTGCTCAGGAATGAGCGTTAGATGTATTATTGTGCGATTATTTCTGCAAACACAAAAATCCAACCGCCCAGAGTGATGAGTAAGGCTCAATGTTGCAATCGAATCGAATAATTCGTTAGTCGCGCCGCCTACGTCCGCCTCTTGAATCTTGAAAAGAAGTCAGTCAATGATACAAGTCATCCAATCACAGATTAGGCGACTAAACCACACACTGTCTAACAATCTTTGAGCTTGTTCTTCTCACTTCGATAGATGAAAAATGAGATAAAGCGCATGCATATGCGTAGCGTCAAGGCAATCTAACTTGGATAAGGAATAACATTCGAGGATAATCATATCTTTAACAGGAAATTTCAGATTCAGCTGTTGATTAGGACGAAACTGATATAACAAAAAAGCAGCAGAAAGGAGGCATCTTTGCAGTCTGCACCAGTATATGACCAAATGTATAGTGAGTTTATTTTATGAAACACAAATAGTGAGAGAAATGTGATCACAATGTTTAAAGATGAAGAAACAGTAACATAAATTGACCAGAGTTCATTTTCTGCAGACCCTGTTGATGTATTGTTTTGCACTATAGAACATGATTTGCAGACTAGACGAGATTTTGTAAGTAGATAAAAGACAATAGTCTAGAAGAACAAGTTTTATTTCTTAAGTGAAGTGAAAACGTTTCCATTCGATTGGGCCCTATACGTGTGATTGTTGCCACATCATGATCTTACAGATCAGAAATTCTAAGAGAATACCTGCTTGTATATAATAATCAATTTACCCCATTCTAATGCGCCAAAGTCTTACTTATGGAATAAAGGTCTGATTTTTTGGAAAATTATAAGACGGTATTGTGGAACAGAAACTAGAGCGCAAGGAATTGATATATAATTAAGAAGTTTGCCTCACCTTGGTCTCTGTAGATGAGCATCCATTCCTCGTCATTGATTCCATCTGATTTATGAGATCGCCGGATGCAGTCGTCATGAAAGTTTTCTTTTTCGCTCTGCAAGCACAAATCTGCAGCAGTCTGCAGAAAAACAGTATGATTTATAGAACGGCGATGAGGGACCGCATTCTGGCGGTACCTTTTATAATTCCTTCTCTAGAGGGATCTATCCTATCGATTCGCAAACACCTGGTGCAACATCATTACTATAGATCAGCAAGTAAGACTCAGATAAATTGTTGATGGTTCACATTTCCAAAGTTTTCTATTCAAGCACTGACCACTGACGGATGCGAAAAACCAAAAAGTTGGCCAACGAAGAAAATCACCTGGTTTGGCACAACAACGTAGAGTCTTCAAAATAAACAATAAGCGAAGCAAAAAAAAAATTAGATTATGAAAAATAACTTCATTTGTAGACAGGAGGCCGATCAAAAGTACCGCACAAGCACAGAAATACCACGGTAAGCAAGAGTATCAAGGTAGCGAAATTCTTAACTGTACTTATTGAGAACATCGAAACCTCACAATGTTCAGGCACCCCCAAAAGCCGAAAAGGTGCTGAGCAGTGGCGCTAAAGCGCAGATCCTACAAGATCCTACAATGGCGCTTGAAAGGGGTGTACGCCAAGTTGTTAAAAAGATAAGCTCCAAAGACAATCGCAAAGAAAAGGAACTTGCAAATAATAGGTTGAGCAAACCTAAACAAATAGCAAGAAAAGTTTTAAGTTTAAAAAACTATATTAACAGGAAGTACTTTTCGAAAGAAGCGTGGACCACTACCTTAATAAAAGCTCTTGAAACGCTACTAGAACGGGATGCAAGAAAAAATTTTGCCGAAACAGAGAAACAGGAAGAAAAACTAGTCAAAATGTTGATCAAAACACTACCTCTGTAAGAAATCCTTTCACTCTCTCCCATATATTCTTCAGTGTAGACGAAAATCCGCTTGAACTAAAATGACGTCGACTGGGATAACATGCCTCTCGCTGGACAAATCGAGCAAGGAGCATACACGTATTCGACTGAAACTGAAATCGGTGGTGTTAATGCATTCAAGCGGAGAAAACCGCGCTAGAGAAACCGCGAATTCAATGCAAGAAAACATAGTGACAATGCATGATGAATATTTTTGTATTCTTGTGAACTTCGATAAAGAGGACGCGCGCTGCGTTTATCCGTTCCAACGGATTTAGGCGAATCATCGCACGCAGGGAAGGACGCTTTTGCGTACGCTGTCAACTCTCTCAGATCACGCGATTTCGTCTCTCCTACAGTCTCCTGTCTCTCACAACATTCTATCTATCTTATCAGGACGCAAGTTTCTGTTTTCTGTTCTTCCGGTTTCTGCGCGTGAACTGCCCATACTGTTGCGACTGACTGCGCCTAAAACAATTATTGCGATTATGTCTGAACTTGTCATACTCTTCAGGTCCACAACAGAAGCGCTCATGATGAACGCGCCCACATACAATCTGTAGGGAGAGAGAACACCCATTTTGGCCAGCGTCTCCCCAAAATAAAACTGAACCAGGGCTCAAAATGCCGCGCATCCGCTTGGCTAAGGCCTCGCGCAGAGTTCACCCGGCTTGATCGTCGCGATTCCGCTACAAGACAAGTGTTACGAGTTCATGCCGATCTTCTTGCATTTCGGTTGTGTTTTCTAACACGACTACCCTGCAGACGCGACAACGCTGGGGCGTCAATAATTGCCTGACGAGTTCCCGAGCTAGTGTTTTCCAGTGTTTTCTTTGCTTATTCTGTGCTTTTTAGGTGATTCGTCGCTGATAAAGAAGAAAAGAGTGAGTTAGAGAGTAGTTTCTGTTTTCTGAAAAGTTCTATCATTGCATATTCCCAGATATCCCACATGGAAGCAGTTCGCATCAGCTTCTTGCCTTTCTTTGTCACTTCATGTCTCTTTCTTCTTGTGAGGTACTTCTTTGAATGCTAATGGGTTTCTACGATTGACTAATTGTCTTTATCACATGAAGTACTTAATTAGAATGCTATTTCTTGTAGATGAAAGCCGAAGTTGCAGCAGGACAAGCCAAGTAGCGTTCAAAGAAACGCCTCACAAGAAGGAGGAGGTTTGAAAGAAGAAGTGACAGAAGAAAAGGAAATGACAAAAAAAATAGACAAGAAGCTGACGCGAAATGCTTCCACGTGGATATCTGTGAATATGCGATGATAGAACTTCTCAGAAAACAGAAACTACTCTTTAACTTACCCTTTTCCTCTTTATTAGCAACGAATCATCTAAAAAGCATGAAATAAGCAAGGAAAACACTGGAAAACACTAGCTCGGGAACTCGCAAGGCATTTATTGACGTCCCAGCGTTGTCGCGTCTGCAGGGACACTATATTAAGCAGGAAATCTACTCGACTGTAAATGACAGTTTTTGTGGAACAAGCGGTGATTACTAGTATAGGGCGCGCACTAAATTTTGTGCCGCGCGATCACTCTCCGGTTTAAGGCACGGGGGGGGGGGAGGTAGAGGGGGGGGGAGAGCAGATACAGACTCGACGCCATAAATAACAATGCACAAAATTCTGGGTCATGTACTGCTCACGCACGCTACGGCACCGCTTCGCGAAATATTCGCGCCATCGTAGCTGATCGTTCTAGTACCCCGTCATTTACTGCGCCACTCCCGCTCACATTTCTGACCCGGTTAACAGGTGAATAATGGCGCCTGCCTAAGGCTTCTGAGCTTTTCGTCACGAAATCTTTCATGTTTTACGGGGATGTAGTGCACCATGGAATCACATCCTTCAAGGCTTCCAAAAGAGTTCAAGAAAAAGGAAGATAAAGCACCACTCAGAGCTCATGAGGAAAAGCGAAAGCAAGCGATGTCTACGAGTAATTTTCAGCTTGTCTAGACGAGTTGGCAGCGGCGCAGGGAACCTCCTAGGGAGCGCCAAATTAGCGATCAGCGAATATCTGTGCTGGTGCATTGCAGGTACGTTATATCGATTCTGTTTTAACTTGGCGGGGAGTTTTATAAGTACTAGCTCATCTAATAGTCTTTCGAAATCTTCCTGTACGTTGTGTTCTTTTTTGTATCTTGCAACCTGCAGAAGTTTCTTCCCAATAATATCCCAGAATGATCTTATTTATTGCAGATGCTCTTGGTACCCGAAGATGATAATGGTGAAACTGTCTGTGTTGCTCGGTCGCCTATTCATGTTAGAATGCGCTATCTTAGGAAAGTCTACTTCATATTAGCACTGCAACAGTTTCTGCTAGGAACAAGTGAGCTTCATTTTCCATCTTTCTAAAGTCCATTCATAACTTTCAGTACGTGATATTCTAAATTAATTTTTGACTCCGATCTACCAATGCAAAGTATTGGATTTTCCTTGATATTGACCGGACACTGGGCATATTAGGGTAGTGTTTGGGATAGACACCGCCACCGTAGGCAGAGCAAGGTTAGTGTGCACTATCGCGGGTAGAGGAACGAACGTCTCAATTAGGCATCGCCTCCGCGGGCTGCTGGTCCTTTCGTCCTACTGTTGTGCATCGGGTTGGGACCAGTGGTTCGCGGAGGCGGTGCCTAATTGAGGTGTTCGTTCCTCCGTCCCACTATCGCAGACATCTTTGGCACGCGCATAGATGATCCCCTTGATCCACTTCGCCTTCGGTCAGGCCTGCGATCTGACCAATGCGAGGATCAAGTGAAACAAGTACAGGGTTGGGGGAAAGTCCTTGAACAGTTTTTGATGTCCTTGTATGTTCAGCTTTTCCACAAATTTTTGTACGCTAGTTATATGTCTTTGCTTCTTATACTCTTGAGTACAAGTCCTCAAAAAACTAAACTGTTAGCTTTTTTCCTATCGGATATATGCCTTCTGGAATGGAGCGAGCATTGGTGGAGAAGATGCACGAGGAGAGGATGGCTGACCAGCAAATTGCGCGGGCTCCCCAAAATTTGATCAGGGTCTTTTCCACCATGCGTCGTTTCCAGGATATGAACAGCACCCAGGACTGTTGTATGAGTGGTGAATTGGCTACCGCGGGCAGTAACGAAATTCTGAAAATCGTTCGCCAACGCCTTTGTCGCAATCCTCGGCGAAGCTTGATTGAGCTGGCTTCAAAGCTGTCCATCTTTGGCGGGACACTCTCCGACATCGTCAGAGAGGGCCTTGCGATGAAGATTTTCAGGATGCTAAAATTTCATGCTTTTTGGGAGGACACGAAGCTGAGCTGACTGCGCAGATGCCATCGACTGCTTGAACGTCTCTCCAAGGCACGCCATAGAACGGCACTCTTTTCTGACGATAAAATTTTTATCGTAAAACAGGTTTTCAATCTCCAAAACACCAGAATCATATCCTAGTCGCTGTGAGAAGCCATTAGCAGGGGTTGTCTCGCCAAAGGAGAGCCTCATCCGGTTTTTCTAATGGTTTGGGTGGCGATCACTTCCGGCGGCAAGATGCCACTGATCTGAGCCCTCAGGGCATCAAGGTGGACGCTGCTACGTAATTGGATAACATTTCCGGAGAAGCAACTGATGCCCTAGACCAATATCCATTTTGCAGGGAAAGATTGGTGTTTCCAGCAAGTACCGCACCTGCGCACGCAGCGAAGGTCGTTCAACCGCTCCAAAGCGACTTTAAGGTCTTCACTACTCTTGCGGAATGGCCTCCGTTTTCGCCCAATTTGAATCCCCTCGACTATAGCGTCTGGTCAGTTCTTTAGGCCAAAGCCTGCACTCACCCACGCAAGCCAGTGGAGTTTCTGCGACCTGCTCTTCAGAAAGCGTTGGAAGAAATCGACGTGAAGCATTTTCGTGCCACCATGGACAGCGTTCCCAAGCGTTTCCGAGCTTGTACTCGCGCCAGACGAAGAATCTTCGATTGTAAAGCCAGTTTTGTGTAGCAGACAGTTAAGTAAACATTACCCATTGATTTCAAGTAATCATCTTGCCTAGCTTCATCATTACGTGAAAAATACCGTATTCAAAGACTTTTCCCAACCTTCTACATCCGCTGCGTTATTGGTCAGTTTGCTGATTTGACCATTAGCGAAGTGGATCAAGTGAATCAAGTGAGTCAACTATGCCACGAGCTTTTTCGTGCTGTCGCAACCGCTTGCTCTTGTTGCGCTTGTGTAGGGGACTAGCTGTCGCCGTAGTCTCCTCCCGCAAGGCAGCAGCCGGTACAAATCCGTACCGCCTATAATGTGTGGAGCTGCGGGGTCCGTCGCAGAGTCTACGTGGGACCACCACTTTTCGGTGACATATGGTCCGCTGCCCGCTGCGCTTCGGTAACCTAATCTACGGAGCGATCCGGATGCGATCGAAATGATGATAGCGTTGCATAGCTATTCCACCATCTATAGATATGTGATGGCGACAAATACTTATAGCGCTGCAACAACCCCTCCTTCCTTCCAACTCTCTCCCCCCTCATCATCTGTGGCGGGAGGAGGAGGTGTGCCCAGTGCGTCTCGAGACACTGCTGGAAGAGCGATGAGAGCGATAGGGATCGGCCATACTATTTCAGATGATTCCTGCGATTCCTATGATTCCCGCACAGTTTAGGGGCCGCTTAAACGAGCGCGTTCTGCGTTTGTCATTTGGTGCCGCGTAAGGCAAAATCGAATGACTCAGTATCAGATCTTGCGTTTCACAGAAAACAAGTGTTGCTTTTACTACATTTACAAGTTATGTCGCCAGCGTGTATGCAATGAATGTTGTTGAATGCTCAGCACCAGGCGTGCTGTCTAAGTTTTGTGAAGGCTGTGTTTTTTTGTTTACTCCCTTTTTTTGTTTTGTTTTTTTGTCGCAAGCAACTCTGTGGTAATGCATCTTGTTCTCATAGCGAAATGATGCAGCGTTGTGTTGCTATGACGGAACCTTTTCATAACCTTCCCAATTCCGCTATTTCATATGCCATCGTGTGTACAAAACGCTTCTCTTGCTTTGCTGGAGTCTTTGCTCTTTGCTTTGCTTTGCTGGAGTCACGACATAAAGTTGTAAATGTAGAGAGAGCTAACATCACGACATGAAGTTGTTATGCTGCAAATCGCGACATAAAGTTGTAAATGTAGAGAGAGCAAACATCACGACTTAAAGTTGTTATGCAAATCACAACCTAGAGTTGTAAATGTAGTGAAAGCAACACTTGTTTTCGGTGAAACGCAAGATCTGAAACAGGTGTATCGTTCGTTAAAACCTCTAAAACATCTTAATATTGATAACGAGGTGTGAATATGCCTACAATTAGAAATAAGGACGTTCACAGCAAAATACTGAGTCATTCGATTTTGCCTTACGCGGCACCAAATGACAAACGCAGAACGCGCTCGTTTAAGCGGCGCCTAAACTGTGCGGGGATCATAGAACTGTGCGGGAATCATAGGAATCGCGGCAATCATCTGGAATAGTATGGCCGATCCCATAAAGATTGGGCAGGTTCACACCGCGCTCAAACCGGTGTGTACCCGCCGGTATCTTCTGCTGCTACCCGCCCGTATTCTCCTGAGGTCATTCAAAGTTGTTTGACCTGCGCCAGTACTGAGACAGCGCCGACCAAGCAATGCGGTCCCAGCGCTGCTAAAACGCTACCGGAAATCCTGATAACATTTTCCACCAATACTCGGTAGGTCTCTCTGGGCGGAGATGCCAAATCTCGCTATCTTGCATAGCTGTCGTTTTCGTCTTCTTCTGGCGTCCTTATGTATGTATCCGTTTTTTCTCTGAACTTTTGTAACATGCTGTCACCAAATGGAAAGTTCTCTTGCTGCTGCTTTTTCTTTGGAGAAAAGGTATTTTTCGATGCTTTTTTTGTTCCTTAGAAAAGGACGTATGCAGGCGCTTTTAACAACTCGAGCCCCAACATGTTTTTGTTGTGGATCTTGCTCAAACTCGGTATAGAGGGTTATTCGAGCCGCTGATTCCGAACACCATATTTATTTCGCGCGGTAGCGTCACTCTCTGGGGTTACGGTGGGTATACGGTAGGGGAATCATGGATTTCGCTGAAACTTGGCTCAGAGGGGCTATTCGACATGCTGATTACCATGATTACCAATATCATATTCTACATTTTGGAGCCTTTTGGGTTCCTTCATACTACGCCGCGCACGCCGCGTACGCCGCTGCAGCGCAATGGAAATATGCTCACGGCAGCAGAGCTCCACTTTTTTCAAATGTATCGCTATATTTGCTGCACATTCGTGTCCCTCAATGGTGTTCCTTCACATTATGCATTTCTTCCTTTCTTTTGCTTTGTTTATCCTGTCTATTCTTTGTCTACATCAATGATTGATGGAAGAATGACTTAGGTTGTTGTGCTCCCTCTACTTTTGAGTTTCACATTTTGTATCGTAACTGACTGCACATTGCGTCATCTGGTTGTATATTGGTAGTATATGGTTGTATGGTTGTATGTTGTATCTGGTTGTATATTTGCGCTGTTAACATCTCCTTACAAACACATAACTGGATGAAAAGGATTTCTCTTCTTCATACTGTTAGACTGCCATTGCAAATTTGATGCGCCGTTGTTGCCGCAGTCTGTTTTCTTCGCTCACAAAACATCATTCAAGTTTCGCGCTTACTTCAGCTACATTATACAGTCGATGCGGCAAAAAAAGACTCGGTGGTTCTGCTATTTCTTTGGGTATTAACGTCACTCCATACTCGAAAACATACATCAAAAAAGTGGAGCTTTGCTGCCGTGAGCACATTTCCATTGCGCTGCAGCGGCGTACGCGGCGTGCGCGGCGTAGTATGAAGGAACCCTTTCAAGAAATTATGGCAGTTGTGGTGCAGAGGTGCAAAATCTTAGTTCTGTCTGGCAATTTGATCACGATTACCATACTCTCCTTGCGTTTTGGGCCTTTTTCGCAGAGTTACGGTAGGTATATGGCAGTGGCGGTCCCAGGATTTGGGATCGCGGGCGGCGCGGGGGGGGGGGGCAAAAATTTCTTCCAAATGAAGGTGCGTGGCGCTGGCCACGCATTCCGAAAATTTTTTTGGTATGCTTCCCAACATTTTTGCGGGCCCCTAACCCCGAAATTTCAAAAAATTTTTTTTACAAGGATTTGATTCTTTAAAATATTCAAAAAATTGTTTTAATTATTTACAAGAATAAACAAGTCACTTGCACATTTTTATAATCCATGTAAGTAATTTGTAAAAATTTCACGACCCATTCTCGCCCCCACCCCCCTCTCGGTCCGTCGATGGTATATGGTAGGGGTAAAAATCATAGACCCCTGAAACCTTGGGCAGGGTGGGGAGTA